AATTCCAGTCCATTGTTTTCTGCCTTAGCTTCGTCGTTGAGGACAACAACATGCCCCAAGATGTATAAACCCCCTTTCTTCAAATGATTGCAAAAACCAATTAAATTCCATGATGTTCTAGGGTCATCACATAATAAGAGAATCTGAGGTCTCCAATATTTAACACTCATCTGCAATTTTAATCTTAACAAATATTTCCTTACTTGATGATAAATTAACAATTGAGATATATCACCAAATTTCAGAGGAGGTGTAAGGTAGTGAATTATAATAATTAAAAGCATCAAAAACACTATAATTAAGGAAGCAGAAATTCCATCAACAATGAACATAGCAAATGTCGATGTTAAGCAACCTGTAAGTGCTGTTCTAGAGCTGAAATATTTAAACGAAGGTCTAAAATTTGGTGCAGAACCAACTCGTAATAAAAAGCAAGCCAAATTTGTGACAATAAACGTCATCAAAAATGCCATAGTAATAAATGTAGCAATTTGATTGATGTCAGCAAATAAAAACGTTTGGGCGATACACCATGTTGCTAAAACACTTAAGGATTCACCTATTTTCCTCTCCTTCGCAGACATTTTCGATACAGTAAATGCCGATAAACCTGGAATGATTTTATCATCAGCAATAGCAGATAGCATGGTAGCAGCACCCACTATCCCCATGATTGCAGAGAAAAGAGACGTAGATATTTCCCCTAATAGCACAACAACTTTGTGCATGTTAACAGTTTGGATCACTTTAATATCCTGATAAAAAAGCTCTCTTGATATAGTAGAGCCCAAACTAGCTATAACCAAAGAATAAAAGGTAAACGTAAGTAACAGCCCTTTCAAAGTTCCTTGCGGAATTGACTTTGATGGGTTTGCAAGCTCACCCGACATTGAAGCACCTGCAAATATACCTGCAGTCGAAGGAAAAAAAATTCCAAATAAATTTTTGAATGATTCCTTCTCTCCAGGTGCTAAGACTGAACCAGCAGCTCCACTTGTAAAATGTGGCCACAAGTTTTGCTTAACGGTCGACCAAGAAAATCCCGTGTATGCTAGATTTTGGTGTGGAGGCGGTAAAGGGTTAAATGGCTTCACAAAAAGAGCTGATACTGGGATCGATAACGTGCTCAATGATAAAATAATGAACAAGTAAAATGCTGTTCTAGAAACTAATTTAGCACCGACTAATGCCACCCCTGTGCAGCAGGCTAGCACTATTGAACAATAAAGTGCCTGCCAAAAATATCCGACTGGTAATATTTGGAGAATATCACCATTATGCTCGCCAAAGTTGACTAGAATGGGTTCTATGAGACCCACAACATTTAAAGATGCATTTAAAATTTGGCCTATACAAAATATTACTCCAATTGCACCGCCAAATTCGGGCCCTAACGACCTAGATATCATATAATACGCACCTCCTCCCTTGACCGTACCATTCGTAGAAATTGCGCTGATCGACATTACCGTAAGAATATCTATCGTGTATGACATAATTAATAACAAGAATGTTCCCATAATACCCATTTGTCCAATAATAAATCCAAATCTCAAAAACATCAAAATGGAAAGCTCATTCAAAGCCGTTGGTAAGAATACCCCTTCGAACGTCCCTAATTTGGGCCTCTTTTCAACAACCTTTTCATCCTCCGATGCTATCTCCACACCTATCTTTGTACTCTTATGCACCGGTAACAATGTTGATGTTTCTGTAGCATTCCCAGATCTGCTCCATCCCAGACTCCGACTGGGCATATTTAATATTGTAGTAACACTATCTTCTTGACGCTATCAATAATTTCTTCTTGGGCATTTCTTTATCAGTCGTTCGATATCATTGCCAGATCAATACTGCATACACGACTTGATACGTCTAACTATCTAAGAAGCCTACAAGTTTGTCTTAAGTCGTTTAATGCCAGCTGCAACACATCAATATATTGTACCATGAGCCTACATTCCTCTAAATCATTTGAAAACTAGTTTTCATTAATACGTAGGCTTTTGGCGTCCCGCAAAATATCGATTTTCATGCCAACTCCGTGTGAGTCTAATTGTACATTACTTCTACCGTGTTTCAGAAACCCAAGACGTCAGAGGATACAGGAAGATGTAACTGACCCATCCGATGGTCGTCGAGGATATCTCTAGCATATTTATATACGTTTTCCATATATTGATTTATTAAAAGAAATATGATCAGGTGATATACAGTCTGAAAAATTTTCGGATCCTAAGCTACACTATACTCAAATTTATGAGAAACTTATAATCTGGTGGCAACATAAAGAAGTGATATTTACGGCCAAAAGTATTAAAAACGTACACAATGTTTAGATTACTTTCTGCTAATACACAGCAGACGCTTAGGCCTGCTATTTTACTGAAAGTTAGGAGCAATAAAGCTAATATAAGTCTCCCATCGAGTAGCATACAAGTGAATCCACCATCTCCGGCACAATATAATTTAACATGTCAATTTACGAGACAGAATTCTAGTGCTTCGAGTCAGAAGACTAAGAGTTCTAAGGTCGACGCTTTTGTCAACAAGGCACAAAGAGATCCGGTATTGCGTGAAGCACTCGATAGTGAGTCGAATTCAAAGTTGAACTATTTCAAAGAACAGCTTTCATTGGCATTCCAATACAGAAGCGCAAGAGATCGTGATAGCCAAAGAGCATTTGTCGCGACTGTGGATAACCTTTTCAAGGCATTTGAAGACGAAAGCTTGCGTTCGTCTTATTCTTCTAGAGATTTGTACAGTTATACCCAAATTTTGAATTTTTCAGTTTATCACAATAGAACTAATAGGTTGTCTAGTTCAAGAAACAGAGATAGTGACCAGTATCAGAATGAGAACTTGCATGATGAAGTGTTGATTAAGTCTGCGGTCTTGAATTTAAGTGAAACCATTATCAGCGGCGAATTCGACAAGATTTTGAATGCAAATATTTTGCTGTATTTGTTTTACTCCATGAAACAATTCCAGTTGTATCCAGAAATGCTTAACTTATGGGAAAACGGTGTGAATGATGGCGAAACTGGGAAATTATATTTGAACGAAAAGATTTTGGCTGTTATCTTGCCAATTGCTTATGAACAAAAGAGATTCTCATACGAAGAGATTTTACATATCTATGAATTGAATACTAAGGAACTTTCAACGGTGCAACACGAGTTGTTATGTTCAATCGGAAAAATAGCTATTAGTTCTGGCGACTACTCTCGTGGATTGGACTCATTGGAAGCTTTATTGCAATTATACGAATCGAAACAACAAAGTACGCAACACGTATTAGCCTCTTTGGGTGAATTACATTTGAACTTTATTGGATCGTGCAAAGATATAAAAATTTCGAAACACTTTTTTGATAAGGTTGTTCAATATGACTTGCCATATTACGTTTGTTTGAAGGTTCCTTATATCCAATCGTTGTTGCAGAATTGCTTTGAGCTTAATGAATCGCTTGATAATATAATCTATTTCTGGAAGTCTACTATCACCCATTATAGTAATGAAAAGAACTCGGCTGGATTAAACTCCCGTTATTCTATCTTAAATAATACTTTTTTCACGATATTTTTCAAGATCTACCCAACCTTGAATGCGGAATCCTTCAATAAATTGAGAGAAGTTATTGCTTTGTATGCGGAAATTAAGCCAGTTGATGAAGTCTTCTTGAATACAATCATTGGGAATTATTCTTGGGGTGATAAGAATGTTTTGGAACAATTAATCGAAAATTATTCGATCTATAATGTCAAACGTACTCCTGTCTCTTATCGTATTTGTTTGAAAAAGACTGGTGAGTTGCCGCAATATACTAATGAAGACATCTTGATTAAATGGAATGATTCGTTGCAACATTTAGATCAAAATGGGTTTAACTATATTCCGATTGCGGATTGGGCTGCATTGCGTGATGCTACAATATTATCAGATAGCGGATCTGACAGAAAGGATTTCTATTTGGCTGTAGCCAATCAATATAAGGATTATATTCAAGACCAAAGATCTTGCATAAGATTTGTCAAATATTGGTTAAAAAAGAGAGAACATTTAAAATCATTCTCTACCCTAACTTTTGGTTCGGACTCAGACTTTTCAAATGAAGTAGATATTGTTGTACCCCAATTTCGCCATTTGAAGCCTAACATTAATTACCAAAAAATTTCATCGAAAATTATCGGAAAATAGGATTAACATAGGAAAGCGATTCCGATTGTATATATATAACGCTTTTTGTAAATAGAATAGACTTGACTTAAAAGGTCGCAATACAATATAATGTAATAATTGCTAATAACATCGGTAATACTATCTATAACATCCATCCTAAGTGTATAATCTAAACATTAGCCCCATAACCGCTAATTCATATATTTTTGTGGATTCGCATAATCGAATATCGAATCATTAACCTATTTGTTAGCAGAGGAGGTAATATATAATGGGATCTTGTTTTTCAAAATCCGATAAGGAGCCAGTCGGTACTAAGCACACAACAGGTAATAGTAGGTTCTCTCGCAATGAACAAAAGTTAGGAGGTAATACTGAGTCGGATACACCTGGAAACGGGAACCAAATAATAAACGAGAAATATAAAAATAACACTAATAGAAATGTACAAGGGTCAAATACTCGGAATCATGGTAAAACATTAGGTGGAGAGGAAGCGAATGAAAAGAACCCCAATACCAAAGAAGCAGCAGCAAAGGCTGCTGAATTGAGGTACAACAAACAGAGACAACTGTTGAAAGAAAGTCAAGATAAGTTGAAGACCATGTCAAAGAAGTCAAAACAAGAAAAGGGCTTACATAGTTAAAAAGAGGATATACAATTAGGCGTAATTGAAAATTTATATTTAGCATATTTAATTCACTTCGTATCTTAAATTAGCTGAAAATCAAAAAAGCGCTAAATTTGATTAGATCTCTATTTTTATATCTAAGTTTAAAAGTGAACAGGAAGCAAAGCATATATTGCATACCCTATCTATGAAAGCGTTTTTCAATAGTAGTACTTCCAGAAATTCCTTTTTCAAACAGGAACAAGAAAGGATAGAGTCGATAATTAAAGAACCTTTACTTGAATATGTCCTTCAAGATTTGCCTCATTTACAAACTACAAAAGAACAGCAAGACGATATCTGGGAAATGATAGCTATTAAACTAAATACTGATCAGTTTCAATCAACATTGACATCTACAGACAATAACAGCAAGGAAGTGGATGAAATTGCCACGCTTAACGGACCGTATATCAAGGACGTATATATCAAGCTCATGGATGATTTCATGCAGCGGGTTTATTCTATAAATCGATATAAGCAAGTATACAAGTCTGAATATACTAGACCCCCAGACGGTGGACCAGCTCCAATTGGTTATGCAGCATTCTCCTTGCCCATAAGAGAGATTTTGACGGAGAGGATAGATAAGCTATTATGTGAACTATTTTACTTGAAAGGGTACGATGTCGAAATCATGGCTAAACTAAGCAAGGAAAGGTTCGAAGAGCAGCAACGAAATGAATATAAGAATAAGCTGTCTGTTGCCAATAATTTAAATCAAGATCAAGAAGCGCATAAAGTAAGTCTAGATAATACCTCCGCCGATGATGATAAGGAGAAGACCCACAAAGCGTTAGAGCAGATGAAGGAGCAACTGGGAAAGCTGAAACTAGATTTTTACGAAAAGGAATTCATCAAGAAAAATAAGAAACTCGACCAATTAAATAATGAAAATAAACGTTTATTGGAATTGAACCATGAATTGGTAATGGAGTTACAAAATTTAAGAGAGTAGTCTTGATATAATCGTCTGACAGCATCATATTCACTTTAAACACTACAATTTCAAAGATCCCTCGCCTAGGAAATTCAATACCAAGACAATTCTTTATGCTCTTCTCGGGCGTAAAAATTCCGAATTCTTCAATATAATCATATCCCATGAACTATCACAGTATCATATCATTTATAGAACCCCATTATAATATCTTTTCATACCCAATGTACATCGCCATATAGTGTTTTATAGTAGCTATTTAGCTTATTGTGTTCCTGTATATAAGTACTATATTGAAAATTGTATCTTCATCAAAAAAAGTACCAAAAAGACCGTGAACCATAACATAATCAGTTACATAGACCTGATTCCTAGACTATTATGGATCCAAGTTCCAAAGTTCCACTTTCTCATACTTTGTGGTCGCCCCATGATACAGTCAAAGATGCCGCAGAATCATTAGGTATAAATTTACCCGAGGAGGCAGCTAAGAACCTCGCTATGGATGTTGAATATAGAATACATGAAATCCTTGAAACAGCTATCAAATTTATGAGACATTCGAAAAGAAAGCTCTTGATGACTAGTGACATCAATCATGCCTTAAAGATATTGAATATCGAACCATTATATGGATATGACAACTCTCAGCCATTATCGTTTAAAGAAGCTTTAGTAGGAGCTGGAGGCCAAACATTATATTATATAGACAATCATGAAATTGAGTTTGAGAAATTAATTAACCAGGAACTTCCAAGTGTCCCTAGGCAAACCACATTTACTGCTCATTGGCTAGCTATAGAGGGGGTCCAACCTATGATACCCCAAAATCCACTTCCGTCAGAAATCAAGAGTTTACCACCAATTATTAGGGGCGCAACCTCGTCGATATTAGGTAACGATATATTAAACTCGGGCTTCTCTAATGAAAACGCAGTCAAAGATACTCCTAATGGGGCTGATGCGGGGGCTAAAAATAAGAAATTAACAGAAAAGGAGGTGGAAGTTAAGCCTTTAGTCAAGCATGTCTTGTCCAAGGAACTTAAGTTATATTTCGACAAGGTAGTCGAAGTCCTTATATCGACTGATCCTGAAAAAGAAAGCTTGAAGTATGCAGCAATAAATTCCTTAAAGAATGATCCTGGTTTACATCAGCTTGTTCCTTATTTTATACAGTTTGTTGCTGAGCAAATTACAAATCAATTAAGAAATATCGATATTTTGTCTACAATGCTAGAAGTTATTTCTGCACTTGCGGATAATAAGACTATATTCTTGGATCCATACGTACATGCATTGATGCCATGTATATTGACATTATTATTAGCTAAGAGAATTGGTCCAATAATTAAGGATAATAGTTCTAATGAGGTTTTGAAAAATCAATTAGCCGTCAGAGAATTTGCTGCAATCTTGCTTGAGCATATAATAAAAGTCTACGGTTCGTCATATTCAACTCTTAAGCCAAGGGTCACTAGAACTTTATTACGTGCTTTATTAGACTCATCAAAACCAATTGGAACTCACTACGGGGCTTTGTTAGGATTAAAAAATATGGGTAATGAAGTTGTAAAATTAGTCTTGATTGGAAACTTGAAGATGTGGTGTAAATTGGTAGTTGATGAGGGTAATAAGAACGATTCTGAAAAGGAAATATTATTAAATACTTCGTTGGATATTTTGAGGAATTTGCGTATTGATCTCGACAAAGCAGATGATATGGAAGTTGATGATACTGACTTATCGGATGAAATTAAAGATAAATTAAAGGATAGACTTGGTGATACGCTAGCAGATTTGGTTCTTGAGCAACCTGATGTGAAATCGATTGTAAGAGGTCTCTTTTTCGGAGAAATTAATATTTGATTCTTATATTAAATTTGAAGATATATTATCCTTTCTATGTACTTATGTATGCGCTTATGTATTATTATTCAATTCATTTTAATTTTCTGTAAGTTTTGAATGCTTTTGTGTGGTTGAGCTATTATAGGAGGGTGGCGGTTTCATTGGTCTTTCATAATGAATCAATATCTTCCTTAAATGCTTGGTCCTGATTATTTATATTTGATATCATGTCGCCGTCATCAGTTATATCTGTAGTTGTATGTTTCATGTTAGTTGATATCGGTCTCTTTCTTTTCGTGCTACTTCTCTTGAATATAGAAGTTGAATCGTTCGTATTTGCTTCCTTTAATAAAGTGGAAACTGGGGAGCCGTTCAAAGTGGTATCAAAAAAAGCTGATTCTTGAAACGAAATTGGGTCTCCAGGCTTTTTTCTTTTCCTACTCAGTTCTTCTTGAAATGGTGAGGATTTGATATCTACTGCGGACCCTATGCGATTGAATGGTGAACTCGCAACGACTTCCGCTGTTGACTGATCTCTTTTCGGCGCCGTAGTTGTACTCACTGGAGAAGAATTGATGGCCATATCCACAGGTGGTGCCAATGACGCACTTACCAATCTATCGCTCAAAGACGGTCTTTCCTTTACTGTAGAGCATGGAATTGTTGTTTCATTATATGAAGCAGCTATCGTCGGGCGAGAAAATTGGTCCACTGGCGTTCTTGCAATCGTTGTCTTTTGATATCGATTAGGATGGGTCGGTGTAGTGATCTCAGACGGTATACCTGCGATAACCGCTTCCGGTTTCTTCTTTGCCGGTGTAGCTTCAACTTGAGAAAATGCCGCTTGTGGGTTATTTAATATAATATCTGGCTGTGATTTAAGCTTTTTTGCATTCCCGAAAATAATTTGCCTTCTACTCCCAGAATCTGATTTTTCTGAAAGACTTCTAGATAAAGTAGACGGTTTTTCTATATTATCACGATTCGATTCACTGAAGGATTTCAAATTCAGAGACATATCAACTTGTCGCTTTTGTAAATTTTTGGATGATAAGGTTGATTTAGATCTTTTAAGCGAAAATGCAGGCAATAAATCATACTTCAGCCCAATTGTTGAAGAAGATTTTTTAAGAAATGGGACTTGCTTCGGGTCTATATGAACTTTTGCGAATTTTGAAGTACGACTGGCTTGTGTATTAGAAGTACTGCCCTTCCCATTAGTTATCTCATTTATCTCATTTAAATTCAACTGCTTCTGTGTATTCTGCCTATTCGGCTTGGAATTCAATTTTAAACTCAACCCCTTTACCCTCTCAATAATATATTTAATTGTCAACGGTAATCTCTGACGAAAATATGGAATTAGAACATACGCCAAAAACCCAAAAGAACTTTCATCTTTATCGCCTGTAGACCTATCCAACAAAGTATCCCAAAGGCCCATCCTATCGAGTAATGTGTTTAATGTTTCATATACTATGAATTCATTTATCTCTGTTGATGCTGGCTGCGAAACAATATGCTTACCTTGAATATCAACACCCATCCCCAAGAAAGTAGGTACAATTTTTTTAGACGTGATTGACTTCTTACGTACCAAAGATTTCTTTTTCTGTTTTGTCATTTGTTTCTCCTCCTTTTCTTGTCTTTTCAAGTTCATAGCTAGAAAGTCACTTTCCACTACTTGCCAACAATCAAGCAATTCTAATAAGATTAAAATCTGCAACTGAGCTTCTCTGACTTTAAGATCAAGAGCAAATGATAAGTTGCTATCATCGGAAGAATGTACCTGCTTTTCCTGGTTAGCATTGGTGTTAGTATCATTCATATCATTTTGTTGATTATTCTCTGTTGCCGTTAGTTTAACGAACAAATCATGGTTTTTATTCAAAAATTCTTTTTGATTCTGGGTCTCATATTTTTTTCTCATATCAAAATCACCGCTTCCAATTTTACTAACATCAAGAGTTTTCAATATTCCATACTTTCCATCGTGCCTGTCATCTAATTCCTTGACTGACAAATGCAAGCTTGATAAATGTTTCTTCACAGCACTATTATCATTACCACATAAATTTTTGAAACGGCTTATTGTAGTTTTGGGAAAATAACTCAAAGGTGTATTCAATGAATATAATATACTGTAATATCTTGAATACAAGAATCTCACTGGATCTGTCTGTGATTGAGGAGAATGATCCGACATCTTAGGCAAATCTTCAGCAGTTATACTAGTAATAGGAGGCTTCATTGTAAAGTTATCCACTATTGGCGTTTTCACTTCCAGCTTATCAAGTCGCTCTAGATTGAAGTTCCACCCCGATATGAAATCATCTTTATTTCTATAGATAGGAATTCTTCCTTGCACCTTCGAATCGATGTCTTTAGACTTAATGTCTTTTGGTACTTGAATCATACCATAATACCTATCATGGATATTATATATAACCCCAATCTTCCAATCTTTGTCTGTAATTCTTTCTTGTATTTTCACATAGAAAAAATTCGAAAACAAGGAACGCAATAATTCATATACATTGTCTTGCAATTTGAAAATTAGCTGGTTGTTGTAGAAGTTTTCAGGTAGATTGTCAAGAAGTATACTATCAATTTTCAGTAACACGGTTATCGTGTTAGGGCATGATGTTGACAATGCCAGTTGAACATCAAACGTAAATGGAAGCTTAACCCTAGGTACTTTGGGATTATCTTCGCTCATGAACCCGTCTATGTGTCAATGATACATTTATCGTACAAACTAATTTATTCAGATTGATAGACTAGTCCCAGTTTAAAGACCAATTTATGAATTCGTACATAATTGGACGTGTCGCATCTCTTCTAAATTTTTATATTCATGAACACAATTTTTATTCTCTATATATCTAACCATACATCCTCTACAATATCTGTAATTGTCGGTCTACTTTTTATATCTCTGACCAAAATCTTTTTAATCAATTCCAAGGAGTTTTCACTGACCACATAGGGAATTCGCAAATCACCTTCCATAATTTCATCAACATTATAGAAAGGGTTCTCTTGATAAAGCATAGTATATAACAAAATCCCTAAAGCCCATATGTCCTGAGGCTTACCTTCATATTTTTCACCACGCAATACTTCAGGTGATGCATAATCAATAGTACCAACAAAAACATCAAATGGGCCCAGCTTCGTATAACCAGCACTACCGAAATCGATCAATTTTACGACACCGTTTTCATCAACAATTACATTCTCATCTTTAATATCCCGATGTACTATGCCATGTTTATGCAAATGATAAATTGCCAGTACTATTTGTTTGAAAATAAATCGGCATTCACGCTCACTCAAATCCTTTCTAATTTCGATGAAGTCAAATAAATCAATAGCGGGAGGATCGCCAAATAATGGAGTTTCAAGATAATAGTATTTAGAATCTTCGAAGAAATCAATAATTCTCATGATATTTACATGAGGTTCGTTATTCAAAAATGCCATTATTTGAATTTCAGAACAAATTGTACCTAATTTCCTGTCTCTGACCCATGTATCAACCAAAATTCTTTCCTTGTCTATACATTTAATAATTATTGTATAAACTGGGTCTTGTTTGTGCTGAGCAAGCACTACTTTACCGTAAGCACCTTCACCCAATTCTTTAAGTACCTTGAATTCAGAAAATTTCTTGGTTCTTCTCGTCGCTCCTATAACTGTTGGCCAATGTGTCGAATTTTTAATTTTATTTTCAAGCATTTCATCTTCAACCTTCAATATTTCTTCTTCTGAATATTTGCGATATGTTTCATTTGAAATAATGGCATTTGAATTTGTTCCTTCATTATCATTATCATTATATATTGTTGTTGCAATAGTATCTGGGCTCATTGTGGCTGATTCTGATGTTGATTTTCTAGATACATATGAACCTGTCGAATCAGTATTTGAGGTCATTCTCTTTCTTTTCAGTGTTCCTCTATTACCATTATCTAAGTCCATCGCTTTTTCCAAATCCTTATTCATATGACTTATAGGGATTGCAAATGTATTTGATTTTGGTCGCCTTGTACTAGTCTCTCTACTTATATCGCCACTACCGGGAGTAAATTCTAAGATTTCCAGATCATCATGAGGGAATAATTTCAACTGTGACGGAAGATTTACTTCATTCATTCTATAACCACTCAGCAGCCTCATTTTAACTCTTTCTTTATCATTCATCAGTTTAATCGATAGTGAAGAAGTACTTGAATTTAGTTTCTCCACTTCCTTCGGCATATTAGAATCTTTTGTCCCTATCAGCCTTGAATAAGTGATCCATACGACAAATGCTTCACTTGAGGAAGCTCTTAATTGTACATCAACCCAAATAGACTTACCGTCTCTATGCATACCTCTTATACCTTGAGAACTAAAGAACAACGATTCTTCACTTTCTTCTTTATAGTTTGAATGCCTACGTATAGCATCAAACTTTCTAAAGAAATGTTCCGGTAACACAAGGCCAGGAACTATGTCTAACGAATCTCCACAATTCTTTAAACCGATGTTCAAAATTTCTGTAAAATCGGGAATTAAATTATTAATTGATTTATTTTTCAAATAAATTAAGGATTTACCGAATAAATTTTTTGCAATAGCGTTGTTGCAGGAAATAATATTGTACGATGATGAATCTATGACAAACATACCACCGATATATGGTAAGGAGTGTATCTTCAACTTAACTTCATCCTTGTCATCGCTTAGTTCCAAGGGATATGAAGTTACGGCGCAAGGAATGTTTTCATCTATATTCAATTGCAATGTATAATACCTCGTTTTATTGATTTTCTCGCTATCGATTATGTCATGAGATAAATATTCGTCTATTAAGTCATCCTCTTTATTTTCGTCTCTATCACTTAAATCCGAACCCATGGACTCACTGATATCAGATAAAGCCTTCATTGTACCAGTATCTACATTTCTCATCAATTTACCAGCAACTTCATTAATAGAATCAACTTTGTAAGCCTCATCTTTACCCTTATCAGACAGAATTACAACATCGAATGCGTCACAAGGAATTTGTTCAAACGTACAAAATATAAGATTTCCTCTCTTCTTGGCCCAAACTGAAGTCCAAGCGAAATCCTTGTCCCCAGGTCTCATGATAGCGACAATTTCACCAGCAAACATAATGTCACGCATATCACGACCGTTATTTCCTTGTTCATGCTTCGTATCGGTTAAAATATTGTCTGCCATCGATTTTGTCAATTTATCTGCCACGAATTCTCTAAACTGAGGAGCTATTAAGTCCATCAAGTTCAATGACTTTATCATATTTTTCAGAATCCCAAACATTAATAGCGCTAAATCATTCGCCGCTTTAACGGACCATGGACTATCTGTTTCGACCGTGAAAATGGATTGAGGTAAAGCGTGTTTCCCCAGGGAAATAGAATGAAACGGCCTTGCATTACTATTTGCCGCGCTGCCTGTAGTTGGGGTGGATGGGACTTTACTTAATGAGCTTAGAGACGCAGATGATGCACTAAATTGTGGAGCGACTAAACTATACTGGTCTCCTAATAACGAAGACGAATTTTCAACGAATGGAGTTGCCAATGCATATATCAATTTATTTTTCAAAAGACTCTTTTTCAACTTCAGATCATCTTTAGCGGTAGCTTGTGACAAATCGTGCAACGCAGAAGTATCAAAACTTTGCTCTGTCAAAGCTTCATTATCGTTCTCTAATAGGGTAATAATATCTTTAAAATCGTCATTAATTATAGGATCTTTTCTAGCGCTCGATTTTATATGATTGGCTGCTCCTTGAGCAGCATCAACTTTTGTAGCATAAATTTGATTTACCGGCAAGCTGTCTGACCTTTTCAAAGATGGCCTAAATAATTCCGATAGGGCTGCGGATGATGCATTCGACTGAATTTTATATTTGTCGCTATTGTTAAAAAATTCTGAACTATTACTAGCCTGTGGATTACTGTATATTCTATTTCCAAAATTTGGAATCTTTGGCTTTTCAAGTTTAGATGACGCCTTTCCAAATTGGTTATCTGTCCCTAGGTTCATGAATTTAAGTAAGCCAGGCCTATCTTTTAAGATCTCTAACGATCTTTTCAATACATTCAATCTCAATGCTAACGAATTGGGGGATAAATGAGCGTATGAATATGCATGGGTCGATTCAATGGGGAATCTTAATATATCATTAATGCTATTAAATTGTTCTTTGTTTGGTAATAAGACCGTTGCCTCCGCTGTGGATGTGCTAGGACTCCGTAACTGGATATAGCCTTGGTCTGCATCTATAACTAGATTTTGCTTATTATTGTTGCCATGTGGCTTATTCAAAGTCTTATCTTGTCTTTTAGTAATCTTTAGATCACTTTCGTCGCCTTCAATGTTTTCCAGTCCTCTATCATTTTCAAAGGATATTTCATCGTCATTCACGTAAAACGTAGGGTGGTTCTTTTTGGTGTCGGAATTCGTCCTATTTGTCATAATAAAATGGTCTTTTGCGACTGATTCCGCAACACCAATTATTCAAGAGTAATTTGCTACTTGATCAAGTATAACCGCTTGTAATTATAAGTTTTCAATAGATAATCACAACCCATTATTTACCACTCCCAAGTGGAAGCAGAAAATTACCAGTATCTCGGTCATGTGACTTTCGATTATCAGATTGACTACAATAGCTATGGATACGTACAATATCTCCAAGCATTTGCCGTGATTAGAGAAGTAGGTGGCATGGATTAATGCTTCTTGAGAGGCATTTCATCTATTGACTCAAGTAGATGAAAATAAAAAAGATTCTGAGTCCTTAAAATTTGCGTTTTAAGCTCATGCGCCATATCAGTATACCAAGTGAAAACTGCTCTTAGGCGTACAGGTAAGTTCCAAAAAAATATTAGTTGACGTAATATATATTACTTTACATATAGTTCATTATATCTCTAACTCAAAGCGTAAAATCTTGTATTCTTTCATCAAGATCGACAACTCCATCTATAGTCAAGCTATTTGAAGTTGATCTAGTACCTAAATTGAAATATGATTGGTTAGGTGTACCACCCAATCCTTCGACAGAGACGGGTCTATTAGCTGACAATTGAGGAGTTGCAATAGTAGATCCTGGAGTGGATGCTGGGGTTGCAGATGCAGATGTCTCGGTGTATGTAGGTGGACTAAATGCCCTGATATCTTCATAAGTAGGAGGTACCTCGTCATCCCATGCAATACCCAAGCCTGACCGTTCTGTTAAAGTTACTTTAAATTGCATTCTTAAAACTCTTGCAGCACCTGTAGTTACTCCTGGTTGAATTTGTCCCAATGTATTAGACTTTTGTTTATTCAGCGTGGAATTTGCTTTCTGTTTACTAGCAGGGGAATTGGACGATACTGGACTTAAAGACGACGAAACATTTTTCAGGTTATTCGATTTCTTTTCTGATGAATGTGGAACTACTTCTTCTGCCACTATTACCTCAACAATTAAGGTATGATTTACATATATTCCCAATGTCGGATCATCTATATCACAAGATATATTTGCACCATTCCTTAAACCCTCTTGTACCTCGTCAATTTTGGGATCATCACTGGATCTTTTCATTATATGTCTATTCAACCCTGTTGAAAAATCAAAAGCATCAATGTCTGTTACTAATTCGATATTTCCACGGCCACTGAAATCTGACTTCCATCCGGATTTAATTTCACCATAAGTAGCCGTTCGAATTTCGTCTAAATACAAGCTCTCTGTGTCTTCCAGAGATTCTGGACGGCTATTGCGATAATCATCCTGAATAACATTCTGGTTGTATCCAGGCGTGATATCCGATGGTAAAAATGACGCTTCATTGCTATCATTGTTCGATCTTCGAGGGGCTGGTGATAAAAATTCCTCGATTAGATTTTCATTTGTATGAGATGAATTCGTAACATTGTTCTCTTGGTCCTCTAGTGCATCACTTTCTGTGACCAATGGGGCTCCGTTGATTCCTTCTATATGGTTATTCGAAGCATGAAATGAACTATTGGTTTGAGCACTTGGGCAAGTGGAGAGAAACATGTTTGTTTGAATGGTACTATGGTGAAGGTTAGCCGCTTTATTAGGCCCTTGTCCGGGGTTTGTGTTATGTGTGCCACCTGGAGTAGTTTTCGACCTAAGTTCTTTGGTTGTCTCTGTTTTACGTTGTGATTCTTCAATTTGTTTCAATTTACCCTCGTGTTTTTTGCATGTTGTCGCCTTTACCTTGGTGTGTTCTTCAATTCTCCAGGCCAATTTACGCATTCTCCAACGTCTATCATTGTTTATGTTTACAATATTATCCAACCTTAACTGTAATGAAAAATTTGATTTAGGATAAATCACATTAGGTAGAATCACACTTGCAGTTGCCTCTGTAGGCGGAAATACTCTCAAAGAATTGCGCTCTGGACCTCTAAGAATCAGCCTCGCTATATTTAAAGGTAAAACAACTTTAACTTCTTTCGAAATGTTAGGTCTCTTTGCAGTAGCAATTAAGCCATATTTAATAAACGAATTGGCATAAGTGGATCCCAATTTTGAAGATGCTGGTAAAGATCCTGGTAATAAATGCGAAAATGGGTAGGCATGGGTTCCAGCAGAAAATGAAGATCTAGAAATAAGTACGTCCCATTTTGCAATCACATTCTTCTTTGTACAGCAATCTTTGCAACTTACCACCGAAGTCGAAGGAATTAAAAATGGTTTAGTATATTTCACGGTCTGGATTAACGATAGCGTAATGCTTTCTATTTCTACCTCATCGCTATGAGAATACGCTGACGTTGTTGACGAATGCGACGACACCAGTGCCAAATCTAGATTTTTCTGGCTCCTAGTATCTTTTATATCTATATTAAGCAAGCCAGAAATAATCGAACCACTAGAGTCTTGCGGTTGGCCGTACAATATTACCGGTGGGGATTCTAATGCAATTGATAACGTCAACGTATGATGCGTTCCGCTGCTCTTGGAAGACAACGATCCATTCAGACTGAGTGTATGTTTTAATGATGGTTCTTCGTTTAGTTTTTCAGTATTATGGTGCAAAACACGAGAAAGTATTGCCATTTGAATAAACACTCTATAATATTAACAACTTCTCGATTATATAATTCAAACCTATAACGACCTCTTTATACCTAGCTAAAAACAAAACAATAACCAATGATATTAATGCTATCAATCAGTATCTATATAACAATTTTAATGATACTTCTATTAGTTATGTCTTGTGAATACAAATGTCAAAAGTCTTCCCTCTGAGATATTTTGACAGTTCGTAAATAAATTTTGTAGTGCAAAATCGTTAATTATGACGTTCCTACTTCTAGTAAACAATTTATCCGTTTCAGACTATGGACGACGACACTTCTATATCGTTAATTATGTCGCTATGTTATTCTTGTATCCAATTCAAAAGATAGGGTTAACGTAATTATCGATGGATCTGTTATCAATATTTATAACCGGTCAGACGTTCGGAAATGAGACATTCCGGATTTTGAATCTTATAAGCACAGTCGATACGCAATGAAAATATAGACAATCTTATTTCGTAAATAACATGTCACAACAATACTTTGTGATTGATAATGGCAGTTATAATATCAAAGCTGGATTCAGTAATCAGGATGCTCCGATAAAACATCAAAATGCGTTGAGCAAGGCGAGAGATGGCCTTATTTATGTGGGAAACGAATATTTGGTCCAGACGAATAATTATTCTGGAATGATATTCAAAAGGCCGTACGACCATGGCCATTTAATATCGTGGGAGACAGAGAAGGCTGTTTGGGATTACACGTTTAATAAGGCGTCGCCGAATCAAGAATTGGATGCATCCATCACACATTTGACATTAACAGAAACTCCATTTCAATTACCTCAGTTATCGATGAATACCGACCAAATTGTATTCGAAGAGTATGGCTTCAATGAGTACTATAGATGCGCTCCGGCGTCTTTGGTTCCTTGGCTGAACTTGGGTTCGTCTGAAGGTAAGAATAATGATTTTACTCTAGTGGTGGATTCTGGCTACAGTGGTACGTGGATTGTGCCGATAATATATCAAAACGTATACTGGAAAGGAGTTAAGAAATTACCAATAGGTGGTGCTGCACTCAATGGATTGCTTCGAGAAATAATATCGTTTCGTCATTACGATATAGCTGACGAACCTATCCTTATTAATACTATTAAAGAGAAAACTTGTTTTATGGCTACCGATTTTGATGAGTCCTTAGCAAATAGGAAGAAGTATAGATGTGAATTCATTTTACCGGATTTCAAAACGACTACTACTGGTTTTGTTAAGACTAAAGATACTCCTATCGACGCCACTAGTGATGTTCAATCACTTTCGCTTATAGACGAGAGGTTCACTATACCAGAATCATTTTATCATCCTGAAATAATATTCGACAATACTACTTCGAGTACGTCTACAATTCAAAATGCATCATTCAAGAATATAACCGATTTGGTGGTTGAGTGTATTATGAGCTGTCCTAAAGTGACTCAGCCATTGCTACTGGGAAATATAATTACTGTAGGGGGCAATACTAACTTGCCTGGATTCACAGACCGTTTGAGACATGAATTAGTTAAAGAATTACCTATAGACTGGCATGTGCAAGTGAAAGAGACAGAACATAATCCAGATGAGGCAAGTTGGTTTGGAGGTGCTCAGTTGACCAATGATGAAATTATTAACAAGGTAAGCATATCTAAAAAGGATTACTTTGAGCATGGATCTAACTGGTGTCAAAAACAATTCGGTTTCAAAAATTTATAGCTATTTTATATAGTTTTATAATGTATATATAAATGTTTAATTAATTAATCTCGATTAAATGATTAAAAGTTAAGTACCTACTTAATATTAACCATCCATATCTAAACCAAACCATTTGGGAATAATGGCCATATGACATAGCTGCATAACTAACACTGAGCATATTCAAATCAGAGTATATCTTAATAGACTGGTTATTAGTTTTATTGCTAAAAAAGCTGACATTCACCTTAATCCTCAAAATATTACTTATTAACAATTTAGATAAGTGATCCACGAATAATTCCACGTTAGTCAATATGTTAAATGAATACTTCTCCAAAAAATTTAAACTTTTCAAAACATATAATTTACCATTACGTTCAGGTTTACTGTAATATGTTTGAAAAAACTTCTTGGTGCCATAATAAAGAGAAATGTGGTTAGGGTGTTTCGATACTCCATCTTCATCAAATGTAATTAATACCAATGGCTCCTTAGATTTCTTGCCAACCGTTTCTTCCAATGTCTTCTGAATGTCATTCACATCCCATTTTTCGTCCATACCATCTTTAAATCTATCAATTACCTTTATATCGCTCTCTCTAAGACCCAATATGCCTCCTGATTTAAACAATTCCTCTGTTCGTATACGGCCCATAGATTCATGAACCGCATCACCATTGGAAAAGCATATTAATTTTACTCTATTATTATACTCTTTTTTGTTTAATTCTATTAATGTTGGCGAAAAAAACATCACCTCATCGTCAGGATGTCCAATTATAAAGTATACATTAGCATCGTGTATTGGTAAAGGTGAAGGCGATGTTATGGAATTATAAGGACAAGCTTGATTCTCAGAATCATTGGGATGACTATATTTAGCTATAATTTGAGGTATAGTAGTCGATAAAATTAGCCAAAGCAAAAAGGATAAGCCAATTACTCTCAATACAAACCTCCATATTCTTACCAACATGACTATTGTTCAACTAGTTTGATGGAAGAAAGATTGAACTGGAACAAAAACAATCCTAGCCTACTTTTTCGAGACGTTCCATGCAGGTAATTATTGCGTGCATTTGATGTAGCTACAATTTTATATAACATCTACTAATTCCACAGGCACTTATTTCTTCTTCATGAATGTGTAGCCCGTTGTCCATACGATGTCAATTCTGGTTTTTTCTCTGTCCCAACCAAGCTCTGTTTCACATTCGCTAAGAAATAATTCCATTAAATTTTCCTTGTCACCAGTGACATCTTTATAGTTATGGAAACCACTGTAAGTATTGAGATAGTTTATAAAATCATAAATCAGCATATTCAGTTTTTCCAACTTAAGATCATCATCGGTCGGCTTAACATTTCCATCAAAGTCAGGAACATATGTTTGAATTTTGATGTCAGAATATAAGTCCTTAGGAATAGCTTCATTTACTTCAACGCAGAGGTTCTTAATAATATTTCTTCCTGGTTGTTCCCAATGTGGTCCTATAAATTTTGGATCGTCATAAACATATTTGCTGTAGATTTGGGATGCCTTTCTTAATATTTCCGTTTTTTCTCCTTTTGCGGGCCCTTGAAAATCAATGACTATTGGGTCCACGTAGTACCAGTAAGCCAACGTCCCTCCCTGCTTTAACAATGATGCACAACTTCTATAAAAGTTGTTGTAATCCTGAAACCAATGGATACACTGAGCAGCAACAATTAGGTCAATGCTATTGTATCCGATCTCCCTGGACCCCAGACTAACAAATGACTCTGCCGAACCTGTCTTGAATTTAATTCTTGATTTGTCTTTCACATTCATCTGCTCACATCTTTCGGGAATTAAAGATTCGGCTGTTTCAATCATCAGTGGAGAAACATCGATACCCGTAACATCATCGACGAAATTGAGCAATGAATATGTAGCTACTCCAGTTCCACAACCTAGGTCTAAGGATTTATTCAATGGAAGTCTGGACTCGTTACCTTCAGAAGCGTACTTACTCAATATCTGGTAGAAACTAACAGGATAATGAGGACGAAACGAATTATAATTAATTGTTTTAAAATTTACCTTCGAAAATGTAGCCATATTAAATTGAATATATTCTTGTTATTTTCTAGTAATTATAATTTCAGACCATAATTTGGGGAATTAATATATTTATATATTCTATGTCAATTCTTCTCCAGCTTTTAAAGATCTAAAAAATGACCTAAAGTTCGGACCCGGTCGGAGTCGAATTTTATATTACAGATTTCTAAATATCTAAACTACGACCATTCGAAGAAACTCGAATATTGGCCATCTGAAATTTTCAGGTCCAGATCTTCAATCTTTACCTGTGATGAGTCATCATATATTTGTGAAGCCTCATCCCCACTAGTGGGATTGCTCATATCCAAGAAGGGTACTAAACCTAGGGATCCATCGGCTGCAAATTCATTCATCATCAATTGACTATTCAAAGTAACCTTGAAAGGATCAAATTTCAATATGCTTTCAAGGTTTTCGTGGCCATCATCATTAAATAGACTTTTTCTATTGTTTTGTGATTCTTCTGGCCCTAAGGAACTGAAGTAGCCCCCATACTCTTGTTCTTGAAGTGAAATATCATCTTCGTTTTTTGTAACGTTAATGTTATTATTCTGAGGGACATTATTCTTATCGAACACAGTTGGCGAAGGAGTCTTCGAAGAAATATTCTTTGACCGTATAATGAAATTATTATTATAAGAATCAAACTGTGATACAGGTTCCCTTGCAACAGCCATTTTCGTTATAGGAACATCTGACGGATTTGGTTTCTTTTTCATATTCTGCGGAGTCTTATTACAACTTAAACCAAAAATACTTAATATTGCGAGCTCCAAAAGCTTGACAGAATTTTTCGTCAACCCTCCAGGTATTTCGTGATTGGTTTCCGCTGTTAAATACGCAACCGTATCCAATAACAAGGTTTTCAGGTTTTGATATAATGGTCCTCCCTTTATATATTCAAGACTTCCTTTTGCTACTAAAAGTGCAAACCTTGCTTGTTGCCTCGAAATATTAATGGGGATAGGTAAAACGTAAGAGGATGAATATTTGGATAAACTCTTCAATACTTCGAGAATCCTTGTGGATGATTGTTGAATCATACTCACACTTGAAACAATTGCTGCGATATCCCCTTTCTCTTTCGTTAATTGTTCTTTTTGCAGCAATCCCACATTATAGTGATTTCCATACTTAGATATAATGGGTAGATAAATCAAGAATTTTGCGTGATAGTAAAGGAAAATTAAGGTCAATTGTTGCTTACTATAGTTCTTCCAATTACTGTTTTCTGCATCGTTGGAAGAGTCGTTATCTGTTAAAGAAAACCCGTTAACGTCAATATCAAATTTCAAGTCAGTAGGCAACTCCCTTCTCCAACAATCAAGCATACGCTCTTGATCCATAGCTTTATTCTGCCCATCGGTATTTTCAAATCTTGCAAAAATAGAATCCAAAATACCTCCTAAAACTTTGCAATACAACATAACACTTAAAGCAAGTTTAGAAACCTTACCAACAATAGATAACTTGGTATTATTTACAATCAAAATATTTTCATTATCGTCGTTATCATCATCATTTTTCCCAGAAAAAGGTAATGCACATTCAATTTCAAAATCCTTCAATAATCTCGGAACACCTAAGTTCAACGATGAGTAAATATCTAGACAATAAATACACCAAAACAAAATACGCCTTTCACCCTGCATGAAGTTCTGCAAGTTAACACTTCCGCCATTATTACCTGTTACACCCAATACAGCTGCAGGACATCTATGTAATCTTAGCTGTTGTGCCATTGTGATGACTCTGCATCTTAATTCATAGCAAGTAGTGATATCACCGATAACAAGACAATATTGTAATGATAAGGTTAGGATTTGAAGAGATTGGATTGAACAGTGCTTCGTCATTATACAATTTGAATTTATGAATTGGTGAATAAGATAGTCATAATGGTTCAAATAAGACACATACTTCTTAGCGATTTCATTCAGATCTATATTACCTTTCGATGACATATGGCTATGTTTATTAGACAATAAACTTAAACTTAATATCAATATCATAAGTACACCAAATTTTTCAATTGATTCAGAAGACTCCTCGTTAGAAAAGGAGTCTGTCAGGCCCAGTTCTAATAGTTCCGTAAATTTCACATATTTCTTTAAAAACGAGTTTTTATCTATTATTGGAAAAGCATTCCCCCAGTCTTGGAAATAAACCGTTATCAAATGATCCAAGTCTATTCTAGAATTCGGTAAACTAATCAAGTTTCTAATGAAGTAAATGGCTTCTGCTTCTGGTAATTTCTGTAAATTTGATCTATTCATTATTATTTTGAGTAGCATTTCATCGTCTCTACTTTCATTAGACGATGAATCATTTTTCATGGTTTCATTAGTATTTTCCTTTAATGAGGCTATTGCATTTGCAGTTAATATTGCTGGTTTTGAATTGTAACCGTGGACCTGGCAAATTTTAGATAAAAGGGTTGGAATAAATAAGGTTTCCTCAGTACTTCTTGGAATTGACATTGCAACTAACGATGTAAGCATTTGCTTTTTGTTTTGTTCTTTATGCTCCAATTGCTGTTGTTGTGATAAAGGTTGACTTTTTTGCATTTGTGCAATAGCCGTTGCAGCCGCAAATGCACCTGGTGCTGGGGTAATTTCACCCCCAATACTATAACCGGTCTTGGTTAGGTTTGTTATATTGGTATTTAGTAAAGCCTTATTATTCAGAGAATAAATCAGCAGTAAATCACTGCCACTGAGTAGACTCTCGTTATCGTCATCATCACTTAAGTTTATAGATCCTGGAACTGATATCTGTCCAGTAGTCGTATCATATACCGATCCTGCAATAGAAACGGGCCTCTCGTGCATTGAATGAGGGAAGTTCGAACAACCACAAGGACAGCCATCATCATGTTCGTGAAGCCTTTCCGTATGCTGCTTATCCAAAAGAGACAAGTTCGAAGTTGTCACTGGCTGCATCTCGTTGTCCTTTATAGAACCACTCGATCGTATATCGTCGAAACTGGTATCTTGACCATTCATTCTCGTATTTAGCATATCAAGTTGTTCGTCCCGTAAATCGAGGATCCCCACCAACTTTTTGTTCTCTATTTCAAGCTGTCTAATTCTTTCCTCCAATGTCTCCGTGTATCCTTTAGGAAATGCCCGTCTTGATAACTTATCAGAAACGATACACTTAAACCCGACTGCTGCACAACTAGAGCAAGTTGGTACTTTACCATCACATTTGGTTTTCTTTGCACGGCACCTATCACATGCTTGAGCTACTCTCTCTACTCTAGTACCTGGTGTCTTAATTGTTTTGGTATTTGTAGTTGTACCATTTGATCTACTTTTCACCTTAGCTTTAACCCGATTTTCAGGCTGTGTGGAAATATCAGATTTGGTTTCTATGTTTGTAATCTGCAGCATAGCTCAATAGATTATCCAGTCATATAGTTATTCGAAGAATAGCACGATATTAAGTATAACAAGTATGTAAAATTATATTATCTTCAATTTTCACAGTATCAAGAGCCAATTTATGCAAAATCCATATTGAGTCATCATGAGTCTGCGAAAGTCCCCAGATAAAACCTCGGGATTAAAAACTCACGCGATGAGTACAATCAATAATACCAGATTAGCTGATGACAGTGGTAAAATCAAAGAGACTAAGTGAAGCTAATGGAACGGTTGTATTCAACAAAAGGGTTAAAACAGAGGAAAGTTTATCGATCGAATCGATTATCACTCCAGGTATTAAACCAGAATCTGATTCGATAATTCCAAGCATTAAACTAGAACCTGATTCGATTTCAGATACAAAAAAACATCTAACTGTAGAAATTGAAGATGACAAAAAACCTAATGTATTCGCCAAAGTTACCAGTGATGATGTTTGTTCGATACTGTCTACATGTAAAGCTCCACCAAAATGGTCTGAACTATATAACGAAGTTGTAACAATGAGATCAAAGTTTCTTTCTCCGGTAGACACAATGGGGTGTGAACGAATCCCCGAAGGAATAAGTCCAAATGTTGCAAAGACCAATCCAAGAGTATTTCGCTTCCAGCTTTTGATCTCATTGATGTTGTCGTCCCAAACCAAGGATGAAGTTAATTTCCAAGCCATGCGAAATCTACACAGTGGTCTAATGGCTCTAGGACATAAGGATGGGCTATCCCTCGAATCCATAGTTACATTATCAGAGGGTGAAATTGATGCGTTTATCCTGAAGGTAGGTTTCCATAGAAAAAAGGCTGCATATATTAAAAAAGCATGTGCAATTCTCCAGAGCAATTTCGACAGCGATATACCGAAAAACATCAACGATATCGTCACATTGCCTGGCGTTGGGCCCAAAATGGGTTTCTTGTTGCTTCAAAGAGGCTGGAATATCAACGATGGCATAGGAGTCGATGTTCATATCCACAGACTTGCACAGATGTGGGGATGGGTTGCGAAATCTGAAAAACCTGAACTGACTAGAACTGAACTAGAAAGCTGGTTACCGAAAAAGTTTTGGGGTGATATAAACCCGCTCCTAGTAGGATTTGGCCAAGTAATTTGCGTTCCCAAAGCTTCAAACTGCGATATATGTACCTTGGGTATCAACAAATTATGTAAAGGTGCCAACAAGAAGCTTTTGAATACGCCTATGACCGATGCAAGACGGGCCAAATTGCTAAAAGGAAGAGGAAATCTTACGGAGTTAATCGCAGAAATAGAAGATCTAGTCTAGGACAACCTTTTATCCGAAATATTTCCATTTATTGAAAAATCTCCACACAGTTTACGTCCATGAAACAAATTATTTATAATTATTAGATACATAAAATATGTAATATATACATTTTTTGGTAGTATAATTCAAAGTCCCTAGCTCGTATTAAATATTGTAAATCCATAGTAATCGATGAGCTTGTCCCTTATCTATGTGTTTATCTCCTGCACGTAACTCCGATCAATATGTCCCATGTATTTTGATTCGAAAATGACTAAACTAGGCGACATAACTTGGTCAGTAGTATGCACAAATTAGTATCTAGAAATGGTAAGGAAAGCATATTATGTATCAGTCAACGATTATACTCAAACATGAGAATACCCTTGAATTATGATGCTACCAAGTACCGAAACTGGCATTATTTTGATGAGCCCTCAACCAGTAAGAAGCAAAAGATATCGGTGATGTCATTCAATTTACTCTCTCGTCATTACATGTGGAAGCCAGTATTTGGATATTTGGAACAGAAGTATCTAAGCTGGTCAGAATATCGTTTTCCATTGATCAATTTGATGATCAGACAGTTCAATTGTGATATCATGTGTTTCCAAGAAATGGAGCACCTAATATATGAAAAATTTTGGTCCAAAGGGTTCCCATCCCCTAATTACCATTCGTTCTACGTAAGAAAACTGGAGCCTGTCTACTGGGGAGATAGGCCGTCGGAGAATATCGATGGTGTCGGGATATTTGTCAATGGAGACAAGTTTGATGTGTTGGACAGTCACGCCATCCACTTTGGGGAGTATATCATGCAGCATCACATCAAATTTAACGTCACGAAGGCAACAGTCGAGCGAGTCATACCACGCAATACAGTGGCACTTCTAGTCAAGTTGCGCGATAAACGAAACGGTAAGATATTGTATGTGACAAACACTCACTTATATTGGTCCCCCAAGTTTAACGACGTCAAAATCATCCAAACCAAACTCCTTTTAAACGTCTTGCATGATTTCATAGACCACGATTGTCTACATGACCCATGTATTATCATGTGTGGTGATTTCAATTCAAACCCGTCTTCGAAAGTATTCCAATTGCTCAACACCGGCACCATCGATGCCTCCAAGTGCAACGAGTTTGCTCTTCACGACTACAATCATAAAGCAAATAGCGAATTATTCCACAACGGACTTATTGAAAACCCCTTCCATCTAGAATGTGCTTATGAGCTGCTTTTTACCCATTCACATATTAACCCCAGGAAGAAATTGGAGTTTACATCGTTTACGAAAAGCTTGATCGACGTTGTGGATCATATTTGGTATTCCAACAACCACTTCAAAGTCACAAAACTTCTTGGAGAGGTCGACCAATCTTACTACACGGAAACCGGCGTGGTCGGCTTCCCCAATAGTCAGTTTCCCTCTGACCATATTCCTTTAGTAACTGAACTAGCATACCTTTAGATAAGACGTGTACATCGTAACAAAAATATAAGTCGTGTATTTAATCAAAAACTGTTGACCATTAAAAAACCTCATCCACTCTTAAGATTCAATGTATATAATAGACATTACAATCAATCGGTTTACAAGTTCAAATAGGCAATTAGCACGGTGGTTCAATTATTGAGTTAAAGAAATCCATAAAAATTTGCTTTATTAGAGTTATTATTTTCAGAAATTGTTATATCTATTGAGAAATTTTGATTGAGATCACCAAACGAATTTAAGAGAAGTATCGATATAATCATAAAGCCATTCATAGTCCTGTTTTAGATGCAAAGAGTAAGACCATTTGTCGTATAATAAATAAATAACTAAGTGTGATTATAGCCATAGATGAATATTCCAAAATATCAACAGGCGCAAGTTCAAGGACAACAGCCTAACTTGCAAGCACAACAGATCTTACTACAACAATTACAACAAGGACAGTCACAGCAGCTGCAGCCATCCATAGGAGGTAGTGGTAGTGCGGGGCAGTTCTCGCAGCAGGATATCTATAATGATAATATAGCGCAACAGGGTCTTTACCAAAATAACTACCAAAGGCCGGTGCAAGCTCAACAGCCACCACAATTACAGAATATCCATCAACAGCAACAATTTTTCCCCCAGCAATTCCTGCTGCAACAGCAAAACCAACCACAGGCACTGCTGTTGCAGCAATACCAGCAACAGCAGCAGCAACAACAACAGCCACAGATACATCTTCCTCAGCAGTACCAACAATCGCAAGGACAACAAGTGCCTCACCAGCCGCCTCATATACAACAGCAACAATTTTTTAACCAGCAAGCGGCTGCATTGCAACAACAGCAGCAGCAACAACAACAGCAGCAACAACAGCAGCAACAGCAACAACAACAACAGCAACAGCAACAACCGACACAGAAGCTCAACTCCATTAACATAGAAAATCCAAATTCGGTATACTGGCAACATCAACAACAATTGTGTCAATTGTCCAGAAATGCAAACATTCCGCATTACTATGCAAGACAATATGCTGCAAACTCTAGAAAGAATAAAAATCCATACAGCGACGTGAAGACAGTGAGTTTGATAGACGCCACCAGATCTATAGTTTCTGCCTTGAATGAAGAAGAGAATTCTAAATCCAACCCTGGGTCTGCTACTAACTCTGCGTTATTACATAACAAGAAATTAGCACAAGATTTGGACGATGATCACTTACAAGAGGAACAGAGAATGAGACAAAAAACTCAAGGAAGACAGTTGTGGTGTCAATTAGACTTGAGTGGTCAAGGGTTGGTTAATTTATCTCCAAAATTATTTCAGTATGATTTTTTGGAATCGCTTTATTTGAATAATAATAAATTAACTAGCGTTCCGCCAATAGTCAATAAATTAAGGAGTTTGAGAACCTTAGATTTGTCTCACAATAGAATTAATGAAGTTCCATCAGAACTAGGAATGTGCTTCAATTTAAGGTACCTTTATTTATTTGATAACAATATCAAAACCTTACCTAATGAATTTGGTAATCTTATTGAATTATTATTTTTAGGTATAGAAGGTAACCCAATAGATCTAAAGATTGCAAATTTAGTTGCGGAAAAAGGAACCAAAGAATTGATCGCTTATTTAAGAGATTTGAAGCCAAGTTTCAGTAAGCCTCCTCCAAGACAATGGTTATTGTTAGAAGATGACGGTGAAATAATTGATCCTATAAATAACCCAGATGCTTATACCAATGACAACAACAACTCTGATACTAGTGATACTTTCACGATGATGTCATATAATACTTTGTGTCAACATTATGCCACTACGAAAATGTATAAATACACTCCATCGTGGGCTTTGGAATGGGGCTTTAGAAGAGCTGCATTGCAAGAAGAAGTATTGCATTTTAAGAGCGATTTGGTTTGTATGCAAGAAGTTGAAACCAGGACATTCCATGAGTTTTGGGTACCTGTCATGCAGGGATTTGGTTATAAGGGTGTGTTCTTTAATAAAACCAGATCTAAGACTATGAGTGAATCTGACTCAAAGAAGGTTGATGGTTGTGCCACTTTCTATAAGGCTGACAAGTTTGAGTTACTTCACAAGCAAAACTTCGAATATAACAGTGTTTGTATGGGATCTGATAAATATAAGAAAACTAAGGATTTATTTAATAGATTTATGAACAAAGATAATATTGCTTTAATCACATACTTTAATCACATTCAGACTGGTGAAAAGATTTTGGTTGTTAATACGCATTTGCATTGGGATCCTGCTTTTAATGATGTTAAGACATTACAAGTCGGAATCTTATTAGAAGAATTACGTACTATCATGAAGAAATACCACCATACAAATTCTATTGACGAAATTAAGAATGCATCAATGGTTATTTGTGGTGATTTTAATTCCACGAAGGAAAACGCTGTTTATCAATTATTTTCTACTGGTGCTGTATCCAACCATGAGGATTTGGAGGGTCGTGATTATGGTAAGTTTACAGATGAAGGATTCCGTCACCTGTTCAAATTAAAATCAGCATATGATCACGTAGGTGAGTTACCATTCACTACAATTTCGCCCGCATTTACCGATGCCATTGACTACATTTGGTATTCGACTCCTACTTTGCAAGTTAAAGGGTTATTGGGAAAAATTGATGAAGAGTATTCAAGTCACTGTATTGGTTTCCCTAATGCACACTTCCCATCTGATCACATTCCTTTGGTTACCAAATTCCAAATCAAGAAAAGTGGTGGCAACAAAAAGCCTGACTTCAAGCCTGACTTCAAATCTGGGTCTTCTAGAAAAACTTGATGTACCACTAGCTCCCTTTGTACATTATTACCAATACTGGCTATGTTTGATTTTATCGTATTTTACTAAAGCTTTATAGTAGTTTACTTGTTATTTGTTGTGTTTGTATATTGGTTTATTTGTTTTTGTGTTTTTATATAGGTTATTCATCATTATTACCAATTAATTTATTAGAAGGAGTAGTTCAGATTAGTCATTTTGGCTCCTGGACTTTTATAAGTCCGTAATGATCCAATTTGTCCGAATTATGCACCGGAAAAACTGACGTTTTTGAGAATTTAAATCTAAATTTCTTCTCCCTAACCAGATCGATATTCTTCACCAACAATAATACAATATAGACTATAGACTAGAAAGATGTCATTGTTAATCCCAACAATAAATGACTACGAGGACGCTCATGGGCAGGAATCAGAGGAAGTAATTTATCAAGAAAAGCTCACGCAATTGTCAGATAAGAAAGATTCCAACGATAACCTTGTCTATCCATGGACTTTTGAAACGGTAAATGGATTCTTCAAACAATCTGATCCAAGCACAGATGATTTGAAGTTTAACTATGCAACCGAAGATTTTGGAAGAATGAAATCATGGCCCGAAATTATAGAAGAATTAGAGAAATTGAATAAAGACGCTGGGGAAAATGAATGCTACAAGCTCTTGTTTTTGTCTAGACACGGACAAGGATTCCACAACGTATGCGTGAATAAATATGGGTTAGACGAATGGCACAGAAAATGGCATGCAATGTCCACTGATGGTGAAATTGTGTGGGCTCCAGATCCCATGTTGACCGACTTAGGTGTCGACCAAGCCAAAGAGAACAACCAGGCATGGAAGGCCCAAATTGCACAAGGGGCTCCCATTCCGGCCAAGTTTTACGTCTCGCCGCTCCAAAGATCAAGTCACACCCTTGTCTACACCTGGGGTGACATCAAACCCAAAGAAAAGCGTCCCTTGGTAACCGAATCTATCCGTGAAACCATAGGTATCAATTTATGTGACAAGAGATCGTCCAAATCTGTCATTCATGAAAGATTCGATAAATATGGCTTCATCGTAGAAAACCTGCTTACGGAAGAAGACGAATTGTACGAACGTGATACAAGAGAACAATTGCACGAGCAAGCCATTCGTGTCAATGGTTTCTTGCAGGGCCTTTTTAACGAAGACTGGGACCTGAAAACCTCGGCATTAGATGAGAAAAAGAAATTACAAAATTCTGTCATCTCTACTACTTCACATGCTGGTACTATTAGATCTTTCATCATGGTCTTGGGCCATAGACATTTTACTATTTCCACTGGTGGAATGATTCCCATCTTGGTCAAAGGGACAAGAAAACCGAACTAGTACTTTATTTTAGTTCCGTTATATAAATAGTGAAATTTATCCATTATATGCATGTGAAAACCTGTCATTGCCCTATCTTATTTATTGCTTTATTCCATAAAATTTCTACTTACAGTAATCATCTCCATAAATATAAATATTACGTAGTGTGGAGCACAATTAATATATAGAGACTAAATAACTATTCATATAATAGGTATATCTTGTTAACCGAATATTCTGTTGAACCCTGAAAAAGGTGTACTATTGTTTTTATTGTCATATAAATGCAATTATTAAAGCCTAAGGGATCGTCCAATTTGAGTTGGTACAGCTATCTCGTGGTAGTTTTATGTTTGTGCACCCATGTTAGGGCCATAACCTGGCCATGGGAAAATAGCGACGATAGCAACAGTAGTAGTAGTGGCAGCAGTGCTACTAGTTCTAGCACTGATAGTTCATCTACAAATGGAATCACCTGGCCATGGCAAGATAACAGTGACAGCAGCAGTAGCTCTAGCAGTGAAAGTAGCTCTAGCAGTGCTAGCAGCTCTGGCGGTGGAAGTAGCTCTAGCGGTGGAAGTAGTGCTAGCAGTGAAAGTAGTACTAAAGAGGAGCAATACGCTCCATATGAAACATCCTGTCCTTCGGGAGACTTATCCAGAGAGGCGAAAAATATTTCTTCGTCTGAAAGGGACTATATGTCCAATAGACATGAAACGACTAACAAGAACTTGATTGATTTCTTGTCGAAAAGGGCAAACTTGTCAGACTTTGATGCGAAAAGTTTTATTAACGAGTACTCTGATGAACACAACATTTCCATTGGCCTTGCGTTTAGTGGGGGAGGATATCGTGCAATGTTGAACGGAGCAGGTCAAATCTTAGGGCTTGACGATAGATATGATGAGGCAAAAAAAAATGGTTTAGGAGGCTTGTTACAGAGTTCTAGTTATTTGACGGGTTTATCTGGTGGTAATTGGTTAGTTGGTTCGTTAGTTTTAAATAATTGGATTTCTGTGGCCGATATTATTGAAGGTGATATCGATATTTGGGACTTGGAAGATTCCATTTTCAACCCCAGTGGAATAAACCTTGTCAAGACGGTTAGATACTATAATAACATTAGGACCTCTATTTCTTCAAAGCAGGATGCAGGTTTTGATACATCAATTACTGATCTTTGGGGGAGGGCCTTATCGCATCAGTTCTTTCCTGATGAAAATGGTGGAGAAAACATTACCTGGTCCAGTATAAGAGATTTATCAAAATTCTCTGATTATGAAATGCCATTTCCAATCGTAATAGCTGACGGAAGAACGCCTGGAACGTTTATTATGGATTCCAATTCATCCGTTTTTGAAATCAATCCTTACGAGCTAGGATCGTGGGACCCTTCTGTTCAGAGTTTTGTTGACGTCAAATACGTGGGTTCTTCGATTAAAAGTAATGACGCCAATACCTCGAAGTGTGTTGTTAATTTCGACAATGGGGGATTCATCATGGGTACATCATCAACTCTTTTTAACCAAGCCCTTTTGAGAATTTCTAACACAGGCTTGAATAAAGCAGTTAAGTCAATCATTACGAGTATTTTAGGTAAATTAAGTTATGCAGAAGATGACATTGCGGCTTATGAACCGAACCCATTTTACGAAAATGATTTTGGTACCTACAATTCAATCTCCACTAATAATACTCTTTTCTTGGTTGATGGTGGTGAAGATCAACAGAATATTCCATTATACCCTCTTATTCAAACCGCCCGTGATGTTGATATTATTTTTGCGTATGATAATTCAGCAGATACTGACTCAAACTGGCCGAATGGTACTTCATTGGTTCATACATATCGAAGACAATTCTCAAAGCAAGGAAAAGGTACGCCATTTCCGTATGTTCCTTCAGAAGAAGAGTTTGTGAAGGATGAACTAAACAAGCAGCCCGTCTTCTTTGGCTGCGATGCTGGAAACTTAACATCATTACTTGATTTCCATAAAAATTCGGATATTAACGAAACAGATGTTCCCTTAGTTGTATATATGCCAAATTATAGAACGAGCTATAATTCAAATACGTCGACTTATAAAATGTCGTACGATGAAGATGAAAAAATGGGTATTATTAAAAATGGTTTTGAAGTTTCAACGAGTAATAATCTTACTGATGATAATGACTGGGCTAAGTGTGTTGGATGTGCAATAATAAGAAGATCTCAAGAACGATTGGGCCAAGAACAATCTTCTGAGTGTAAAAAGTGTTTTGACAATTACTGCTGGAGTGGTGGTGAAAAGGCTGCAGCTTCATCAAGTGTCAGTGATTCTTCTTCTACTTCTGAGAGTAGTTCCAAGAGTAGCTCCACATCAAAGAGCAGCTCTAGCTCTAAGAGTAGTTCAACCTCACAAAGTAGCTCAAGTGACAAACCCAAGGGTAGTAATGCTAATGCATTGTATATTTCGTTGCCTCTTGCAACCTTCACTTCATTTATTATGGCGTTGTCCCTTCTAGTATGATTTTATTTATTTTTGTATTTCACTTCTCGTACTTACCATTTTCGTACAGTTTCAGCTGTTTTTTTCTATTAATTTTAATTTAATATAGTTTCAGAATGTTTTATTATTTTCATAATTTTTTTAATTTTTAGTTGGATTTTGTAAATTATCACGTATGAAAAATATACAATTCAAAATTCATCAATACAAAGGTTAAAACGAATCTTCTACAGCAATAGGCTATTACAATGATAAAACATAATCATGTTTCCTATATAAGTATAAGGTCCTATTGGTAATGAACATCTCAGAGACAAACATGCATTCGTATTTCTTCCCAAATAAATCAACAAAAAAAAATTAAAGGCAAACAGAAGTTACGAATTAACCACTAAAAGTCTCTGAATACATTCATACAGCTTATATTTTAATTTTTCTATACACATTTCTTAGTTTAAGTTCCTAGATAGTGGCCTTAAGAGAATCATTTTGCAGCCGTTAAACCACAAATCACGTGACTAAATACCCATCGCAAAATTTTAATTTTTTTTAGTTCACTCTTGTAATGATGATGTTCAGCTTAAATCAGAATAAACTAGTCAATATACATAACAAAGACATATAGATAGGTTAAAGATGGTCAAATCATATGATCGTTATGAACAAGAAAAATGCTTTGGTGTAATTGCGTCACAGTCTAACATTGTATATCTTCCACCTACCCTGAATCAATCGTCAAAAACCGTTGGAAGGGCTATTTCATCAGGATTAGAGGAGATTTTGGTTTGGGATATTAAGACAGGTGAAGTACTCAACAGATTGAGAGATGGTTTAACACCAGGTGCTTCAAATGCACCAACAGCTCAGGCACCATCACCGGTATCATATTTGGCATACCATGAAGACACGAACATTGTCGCTGCAGGATACTTAGATGGATCGATCAAGATATGGGATTTGACATCAGGCTCTGCATTAATCAGCTTTCAAGGTCACAAGTCTTCAATTAGTATTTTAAAGTTTGACAGAAGTGGTACTAGGTTGTTGTCTGGGTCGAACGATGCCACGATTATTTTATGGGACTTGGTTGGAGAAGAAGGATTATTCAAATTAAAAGGCCACAAGAGTCAAATCACAGGTTTGAACTTTCTCACCGAAAATCCAGAATCAAAAGGATCTGATGACCTTGAAGATTACTTATTAAGTGTTTCTAAAGACGGATTGATTAAATTGTGGGAAGTAAAAACACAGCAATGTGTAGAAACTCATTTGGCTCATTCCAACGAATGCTGGTCTTTAGGAATGAATATTTTAAATAACGTAGCCATAACCACGGGAAACAAGGATCAAGTTAAAGTGTGGGAAATTGACCTTTCTCAACCAGATACTCAAAAATTAATTGAAAAAGGATCATTCGAGAAACAAAGTAAGGCGAGATGCGCCGATATTCAATTTCAGAAGTTGAAAACATCAAGCACTAATATAACAGACCTATTTTATTTACAGAATGCTGATAGAACTGTGGAAATATTTAGAGTAAGGTCCTCTGATGAAATAAAGAAGGGTATTACCAAGAGAACGAAGAGACTTAAAGAAAAGGGTTATGACGAGGAAGAAATCTTACAATCATTGAAAGAATCTGAAATAAGTATGATGATCACTCCATTCACAACTTTAAGAACCATTTCCAAGGTGAAGTCATGCACATGGGTTAATCATGATAAGAATAGTAAAAAATTGGATTTACTTGTTTCTTTGACTAATAACTCTATTGAATATCATAACATTCCAATTCCCGAACTGATAAAGAAAACTCAAGCATCTGATATATATTCCGTGAAACAACATTCAATTGATTTGTTAGGTCATAGAACTGATATAAGAGCAATGGACATTGCTGCTGATAATAAATTGTTGGCTACTGCATCGAATGGGGAATTAAAAATTTGGAATATTAAGACTCAGAATGTTATTCGTACATTTGCATTAGAAGGAGGTTACGCTTTGTGTTGTAAGTTTTTGCCAGGGGGAACGTTGATTGCAATTGGTTTTAAAAATGGGGATTTAGAGTTATACGATTTAGCTACTTCATCTGTAGTGGACAGAATTGAAAAAGCTCATGATTCAAAGTCAGCTGTTGATGATGAAAATGGATCGGCTATATGGTCGTTAGACTTAACTCCAGATGGGAAGACATTAGTTACCGGTGGTAATGATAAATCTGTAAAGTTTTGGAACTTCAAAGTTGAACAAGAGATGATTCCAGGTTCTAATTCATCTGTATCGAAATTAAAATTCGTACATAATCAAACTTTGGAATTAAATGAAGATGTGTTATGTGTAAGAATTTCTCCCGATTCAAGATTTTTAGCCGTTTCCTTATTGAATAATAATGTGCAAGTTGTTTTCCTTGATTCGTTGAAATTATTCTTAACATTGTATGGTCATAAATTACCGGTTTTATCAATTGACATTTCTGACGACTCCAAGTTGATTATAACTTCATCTGCTGATAAGAACATTAAGATTTGGGGATTGGACTTTGGTGATTGTCATAAGTCTATTTTTGGTCACCAAGATTCGATTATGAATGTTAAGTTCATTCCAGATAGTCACAACTTTTTCTCTTCTGGTAAGGATGGTCTTATCAAATATTGGGACGGTGACAAATTCGAATGTATTCAAAAGTTACCAGCGCACCAGTCTGAAGTTTGGTGTTTAGCTATTAGTAGTGATGGAAGATTTATGATTTCCACCTCCCATGATCACTCTATTAGATTGTGGCTTGCTACTGATGACCAGGTTTTCTTGGAAGAAGAAAGAGAAAAGGAAATGGACGAACTTTATGAAAACACATTATTAGAATCGTTGGAAGAAGATCCAACTTATAATAACAACGAGGAAGACGATGAAAAAGAAGACGGAGAAGAAGTGTCAAAAGTTACCAAGCAAACTATGGAAACTTTGAAAGCGGGTGAAAAATTAATGGAAGCCTTGGATATCGGTACTGAAGATGTTTTAGCGACCGAAGACTATGAGTTGCACTTGAAAAACTTTCAAGCTAAAAGAATCGCTGCTCCACCAGTGAAACCCACTCCAAACCCAATCTTGTTGGCTTTAGGCATCAATGGCCAAGAACATGTTTTAAATACCGTCACCAAAATCAGACCAGCGCAATTGGACGATGCTTTACTAGTGCTTCCATTTTCCTACTCCTTGAAGTTATTGAAGTTCATCGAAATCTGGACAAATAAGCAAAACGTTACAAACAATGTTGTCAATATCTCACTCATCTGTAAAATTTTGTTCTTCGTCATCAGGTCCAATGCCAAAGAGTTTATTCACCAAAAGAGCCCTGAGCTCAAAAACCAGCTTGCGACCGTCAAAAAACAGCTCCGTGAAGAATTGTCCAAAACCTCAAACCAACTAGGATACAACATACAAGGTTTGAAGTTTACAAAACAACAATGGAAACTTACTCACGAATCAGAATTTATTGACGAGACTGAACAAAGGGAATACGAAGACAAAAAGGCCATTAAGAGATCCTTTACAACTATATGATGCTTTACAACTATATAGTTCTGTATTATAGATTTAATAAATAAAAGCAATTTTTCATTAACTAATTAAGTCCAAGATTGATTATTTCGGTCATATATGCATACTTCGTATGTCTAATGATGCAACGAAATACGAGAACTCGGACGAGCTCCCATATTAATCCATTCCACTGATGAAACAACTATTTAAAAAAAGCTTTTTAATTACCATACATACATACGTAGGTATATGTATATACATTTAATCGTACGAAATTCAGATTATTTTATTGTTTGTAGCGTTAGCCTATATAATTTGTAAAAAAGAAGAATTTACATTATGGTGGAGGGGAATTTTTCACAGTTCGCAATCATTTTATGTAACAGAAAATGGTGGAATTTTTTTATTGATTTCTCATATCAATTTTTCTTGTCGGGAGAGAGAAAATAGCCCTTATTACGGCAAAAATCGATATAGTGGATATAGAGGCTTGTATAAATCTAAGATAATTGATAGGAATTGATTTGAAACACATAGAATACTGCAGTTTTATTCTAGGATTAATAAAACAGTGGTGTGATTACCACAGAAACAATAATTAGGACCGAGAAATATATTGGATAATTAATCGACAAAACAAAAATGAACAATCTACAGCAACAGCCAGGTAATACTAACTCGTGGCATGCGATGTATTCCGTCGGTGATAGGCAGAAAGTGGTGCAAATTTTAAGTGGGACGTTGAAAGAGCTTCAGAATGGAAATTATGACGCTCAGAAAGCGGCTAATATGGCGCAGGAGTTTGAAAAGTTTACATTTATGAAATCGCAGAGCAGAGATGAATATCTTCGGTTAATTAAACAGAAGGTGACGCAGCTTCGGGCAGGGATAAGAAACCCGGCAAATGGGAATAACATGGGGGGAAATAATCCGATGGTGAACCAAAATATGGGGCAAAACATGGGCCAGGGAATGGGTATGCAACAGCAGCCAAACATGAATTCACAGAACAACATGAGGCCCCAAAACATGAATTTCTTACAGCAACAAGCACAAGCCAGGCAACAATCGGCTGCTCAAATTCAAGCGCAATTGAGAACTGGTAATATTCCAAACCAAACTCCATCACAAACACAACCTGTTCATCATATGCAACAACAGCAACAACAACAACCTCCGCAGCCTCCACAATCACAACAACCGCAACAACCGCAGCCGCAACAGAACTTACAACCTAACCAACAACAACTTCATCAAATTAGTAACATGATAAGAAATGCGCCAATTCCTCAAGCATTATTATCAAAGATCCCAAATTTACCTCCCAACGTGAATACATGGACGCAGATATTCGATTGTTTCCAGAAGAAGATTATTCCGCAAGCTGCAATGCCTGTTATAAAGGAAATACACAATACGCATCTTCAGTTAACATTGCGCCAGCATCAACAACAAAAGATCAATCAAATGCAAAGTCAAAGAATGAATCAACAACTGCAACAACAACAGCCTCAATTGCCGCAACAACAACAGCAGCAGCAACAACAGCCTCAGGCGATGAATAATATGGCAGGTACTGTTAATAATTCTAATAGTAATACCCCAGTAATGAATTCTGGTAACTTTAATATGAATAATTTGAACCCGCAACAAAAGCAGCAATTATTGAGGAGACAAATGCAACAGAGAAATGCAATGGCAGGTCAAAATCCATTAATGCAGCAGCAAGGCCAAGTGCCACCCCAACCACCCCAACCACAACAACCACCTCAACCACAACAGCAGAAACCTCAAATGGTACAATCTCCGCCTCAAAATCCTCAGCAGGGTAAACCGCCTAATTTTACTATTACACCTGATGACATTTTGAAGTATAGTTCTGATGCTATGAGGTTATTAACTAGATTGCAATCAAATGGATCTATCCAACCAAATCTTGATCAATCACAGAAAGAGAGCTTTATACGTAAATATATTCATCATCAGAAGACTACAATGTGGAAGCAAGGTCAAGTGACTAATAATATGACGAATGTGCCAAATACAACCAATGCTGGCAATACAGTTAATCAAGCCCAAGTTCAACGAAGACTTCAACAGCAGGCTGGAGTTAATAGTATGCCTATGCAATCTCAGCCGCAACCTCAACCTCTGGCTCCTCTTTCCCAACAGCTGCCCATGATAAACAATATGCAAATGGGTAATCAACAACCTATGCCTCACTCGCAAATGAATAATCAAAGTTCACCAATGATGCAGCAAAGAGCTGTGAATACTCCCACGATGCCGATGAACAACAATGATCCTGGTGCTGCTTCAAAGAAGCTGGCGGCGATGGGATCATTATCTGCTCTATTACCTCCATTAACTGATGAAATGAAGTTGCAGTTAAGGCAATTAATCGAGGAAGTCTCAAGGAACAATGTAGCGTTGAAGGATGTTACTATGTTATTATCCCAGCAGGACAAGAACGCAGTGCGTGATACAGTTGTTAGAATTTCTCAACAGTATGCAAACGTGGATAGTATTATAAGTTATTTTTACATTATTACGAGAAATGTGGAAGGTACTAAAAGATTGATTCAAATGAAGTACATGACTAAGAATATTATTGAAAATGTGCAACGAGGCATCTATTTAGCGGCGCCAGACTTATTGGAAAAGTTGAGGTCTCAATACCAGAAATATTTCGAATACGTTAAAGAACAATTTGCCATTAGAAGACAGCGTATGCAAAGCCAACAACCCCAAGGTCAACCTCCACAACAGCAACAACAACAGTTTCTTAATAACCAACAAAGAAATGGTCCAATACAAAATCAAATACCTCAGCAACAGGTTCAAGGCATGCCCCAACAACAAAATGGCCAGCCATTAATGAATATTGGTCCAGTTAATTCATGGCCAAATGTTGCACCACCGATGCAACAGAGAAACAACATTGGTAGCAGCCCAATGATTCCGAACTCTGTATCTCCAATCATACCAAAGCAAATGCATCCATTCCAATCTCCTGCTCCTAATATAAACACTGCTCCTCCGAAACAAGGGGGGAGGGCCCAAAATAAGAAATCAGTTTCGGGTACTACGCCAGGAGCTACTGGAACCGGTAGAAAGAAGTCTATCAATAAAAGTATTTCATCTGTTGGGGGAATTCCAACTCCAGCTAATAATGCTACCACACCAGCAGCTCTTGCGAATTCGATTAAAACTCCAAATAGTATTCCAACTCCACAAGTTCCTCCAACACAAAGTAATAAGAATACTCCTGCCGAACAACAATCACCAAGCTCTCAAATGAAGAAAGCCCCTTCAAATGCAGGTTTGAAAATTACGGAAGACACTATGGGAACGATATTCAATAATAGTGAAGTGGACCCAAAACTTGCAAAGAGGAGAGAATTATCCGATACAGACCCCGTGAAATTCTTTTACGCTTCGTTGTCTAATTTGCTCGACTTCGATGATTCGGTAGGCGACCACCAGGGACTTCCAACCCCAGCTCAATCGTCTTCATCGACAGGAAGTAAGATCGGAATCGCCAAGTCACCTTTATCTCCAGTTATCACTTCTAATGAATGGACGTGTGAAATCAAACCTATGGCAATAACATCTTCATTTAAACAAGTCGACACTATAAGGGAATTGACAGCATCAGATATTGTCCAGACATGTGCTGATTTAGCGTTAACTGAAGTTGGAGAGTTTTCGAAGAAGGGTATTAAACGTGAAAATGATAAAATGGATGATAGTGATGATATTGACAATTTATTCTCCGATAAGAAGTCTAAGCTTGAAGATGATGACTACAAATTTATGTACGAGCCAGTCGAGTTTGATGAATGGCAAAAATTCATGGTTGCCAGCATGCAATAAGACCGAAATCCTTCCTTCATTCTACTAAACATGGTAACAATCGCCTATATATTTATTTAATAACAATGTATTTTTATGTATAGCTTCAAACCAGAAAATTATGTAGGAGAGTCAAAACGAAAGTTCGCGTGCAGATTTGGGTCCTCGAAAGATGTTCTGATGATGTAGCTTTCTTCTAACCGAGATAAACTTATCAATAATCATAAGTACAGCATGACACCTACAGCTACAACAGTTGATAAAAAGATATCCGTTGCGTTCGTTTGCTTGGGTAATATGTATGCATCAAAGAATTTTTCACGATTATTCAAGATTTTTCAGTACTAACATTTACAGTTGTCGTTCCCCAATGGCAGAAGCCATTTTTAAACATAAGGTACACGAATTAGGTTACTCCGAATATTTCAAAATCATTGATTCTTATGGGACCGGTGGCTACCATATAGGTGATCCACCAGATTCCAGATCTGCTAAGACTTGCCGTAAGCATGGTGTTCCAGTGGACCATCTGGCGCAACAAATAACATCGAAGGACTTCAAGAAATTTGATTATGTTATATGTATGGACCAGTCGAATCTTTCGGACTTGTTATTCATGAAGCCTAGAGAATCTAAAGCAAGGGTTGCACTTTTCGGTGAATGGAAGCTTGATTCCAAGTTCAATACTGTTGTTCAAGATCCATACTATGGAGGCATAAATGGTTTTGAAACAAATTTCCAACAAATATCCCACTTCAGCGAAGAGTTCTTGAAGCGTGAAATAGGTGACTTATGAATCAACTTAGATATTAGAGGTTAACCATATAGACTCTATTAGCATGTATATGTGTAAATATAGGAATAGACGAGCGTACATCTAGTCACACTCGTTTATTGGCAAACGAAAACCTACGATAGTATTAATCACATCAATTGCGGTTAGAGAAGAAGTTATAATATATAGAGGTATTGAACTTGGTTATAATGAGTACTAGAAAGCTACAACAAGAGTTCGATAAGACGAACAAAAAAATTGCGGAAGGATTAACAGTTTTCGATGATATTTACGATAAATTGATGACGACTGAAATTAGTTCCCAGAAGGAAAAATTGGAAAGTGACTTGAAGAAGGAAATCAAGAAGTTGCAGAGACTGAGAGACCAATTGAAAACATGGATTAGTGACACCAGTATCAAGTTAGATAAAAGTTTAATTCAAGACAACCGTACTAAAATTGAACATGCTATGGACCAATTCAAAGACTTGGAGAAGTTGTCTAAGATCAAACAATTCTCCAACGAAGGGTTGGAGTTGCAAAGCCAGAAGACAAAGTATAACAAATTCACGGACCCCGAAGACGCGAAGAAACAAGAAGCTTGTAATTACATTGGCGACATAATTGATCAGTTGAACCAGCAAAACGAGTCATTGGAACTGGAGATACATCTGCTTGCCACTCAGTTGAAGAAAACCAAATCTGCAAACTCATATAGTGTGCAATCTTCGATTGACGACTGTAAGTATAACGTGGAAAGGAATAATAATCATTTAAGTAAATTGGAAATGATTTTGAGAAATATAGAAAACGAGAACTTAGATCCTGAACGTGTGGATGATATTAAAGATGATTTGGAATACTACGTTGAAAATAACCAAGAAGATGATTATGTTGAATATGATGATTTCTACGATCAACTAGAAATGTCTGAGGAGGACGATGTTCAAGCTGGACAAGATGCGAATGAAGATAATGAAACAGAAGTGAAAGAAGGACCGAAGGAGGAACCCAAGGAAGGACCAAAAGAAGAACCTAAAGCAGAACCTAAAGCAGAAAAAACTGAAACTAAGCCAGAAGCGAAAACGGAATCTAAACGTGAACCTAAGCCAGAAATCAAAAGTGAGGCAAAGAGTGAACCTAAATCGTCGAATGAGCCTGCAGCTACTGCTGCTAGTACTCTTGCGAGAAAAGGAAAGCCTACAGTTGTACCAGCGGCAAATCCACCACCTCTTAATACGGCGCAATCATACTCAAACATTATCAAGGCATCTATGTCATCTCCAGCAGCTACAAAAGTCCTTCCACCGGGATTAAACCAAGCAAAGTCATCAACATCGTCACCACAACGCACGCCACAGAAACTCCACCAAGTAGACGACAGCAAAAAGAGAGTAGCTTCTCAAACCCAACATATTCCATCCACGCAGCCAGAAACTAGATCCGAGACGCAGCTGCCAATTTTAAATGTAAATAAACCTATCTTCGACACCGTAAACAGGCTATCAACTTTACCCCAATCGAGGTTACACAATCCATTACCATTCCAATCGATCGTTCTGTTGTTAGAATCATCTTTACTCAACTGTCCAGACTCATTTGACGCAGAGAAACCAAGACAATACCACCCCACAAGCATCCATCCATCTTCGGTGGACTACCCTCAGGAGCCAATGTATGAGTTGAACTCGAGCCACATAATGAAGAAGTTCGACAACGATACCCTTTTCTTTTGTTTTTACTACAGTGAGGGAATCGATAACCTAGCCAAATGGAATGCTGCACAGGAGTTGAGCAAACGAGGCTGGATTTTCAACACTGACGTGAAGCAATGGTTCTTAAAGGATAATAAGAACGGAGGTAAAAATAGATCTATGTCCATAATACAAAAGGAAGAAGACGAACAGGACAAGCAAGATGATTCTGCAAACAAAGAAGAGAACTATAAGTATTTTGACTACGAGAAGACGTGGTTAACTAGAAGAAAGGAGAACTATAAATTTGGTCAAGATATCAGGGAGACGTTTTAAACCATCGTTATCGTCTTTTGTCATCGTTTCACATCGTGTATTTTAGTTTATTTAGACTACATATTATCAGCATATATTATAATCTTAATTGTAACGTCTTAGGTATCCATTATGCATTAGATCTAGATTGACAAATTTTGTGTACTTAAATAAATTGCGGATCATCAGACACGTTAAAAAAACCGCTCTATGTTAGATAGGAGTATGTGGATCTAGAAGACTAGCTAAGATTATTTTGGATCATTTTTCAGATTACTAAGAAGCGAAAATATACGTTAAGAAAGATTAAGCTATTCTATCGTACTGCTGAGTTTTGCTACTACATATGAAAGTGCTGATAATAGATAAGACGTGAGACATAATGACAGTTATACCGAATTCGATTTTTGAAAAGAGAGATAAATGTGTTGATTGCCCATCAAAGCCGAATAATTCATGCCCAAAATGTGAGTCAGGAAAAGAATGTATTTTGGCGGGCCAAACATGCGATACTTGTGCTTATTATAAATGTTCACCGATTGATGGAGATTCAACTAAATCCACGCCGATCGGAGGCATAATTGGGGGATCGATCGGAGGATTCGTATTGATATTGATAGTGACAGGAATTTTGTATTATAAGTTTGTGTACCGAAAGAAACATCCCGTGTTACTAGAGGAAGATGACGATATATTGATGAGTGGAATCGAATCTGAGAGTGACCGCAAGAGTGATTATACTATCAGTAATCTCGATAGTTACCAGGGAGACCCGAATATGGCGCCAGTAGGAGGTGTAGCGAGGAATGGAAATGCCCAGGAGAAGACAGGAACGAGATCTGCTGCAGCCAACAAGAGGATATCGTCATACGAGTCGTTCACCAGACCCAAGGCCAAATATAACAAGAACACCAGACGGGCTGGGGGTCGGGGAGGCGCTAGAGCGAGAACTAGAGTTGGTGCCTATCTGGATACTAATTCCAGTAGACATTCTGTGGCCACGACCATGTCCACTACAAACGCATCTAACATTTTGCCCATTGCATATATACCGGGGGTTACCGTGAGACCCACCAAGAACAATACCAGATCGATCTATTCGTATGAGACCGAGTCTGTGTTCTCAGACTTGAACACGATCGAGAATGCCTCTATCATTGGGGACGTGATGAGAGCCAACCAGCTCCAAGATTCAAACGCTGCGCAGGCCGACGCAAATGCCAACGGGTCTACAAATAAAGACAGTACCATGACCGCAATCAAGGCCCAACCAAAATTGATCAATGTTGACAGAATTGAAGAAGAAGACGAAGACGATATTACGGACGAAGAGGATGACACATATGGAGACACGTACGACGACTCGCTGGTGGCATACGAGGCCCAACAAGAAGCCACAAACGCCACGAACATAAGAGACTCCCAGACCTCGATCCCCCAGGAGAACCCTGTGGACTTGTCATCCGATGAGCACCACTACATCAATGTTAATGCCGATGACGACGCTGATTCAGACTCTGACGTCGACTCAGACATCGGCGAGATCACCAGGGCTACTAGCGTGAAAAAGCCGGCAGAATCCATACCCCAGAGTCGTGAAGTGCTTCTTGATGTCACCGGTGGGCCCAATTCCACCTCCTCCACCACCGTGGACACCAACCATGAGGTCGTCGAGTTGTCCCAATTGGGCAGACCCACCGGACCCTCCCACCAGTATCTCAATGACACAGGCTCCCCCACGAACACGTCCGCCGGCTCGTTTATCTTGGATGTCGAATTCGAAGATTCCGGCCCTTTTAACGATCCTTAGGTGGCCGTTTTATGCTCCTTAACTCTGCGTAAGCCGTTCGACGATTTTTGCGCACCGGAGTGTTCTTTTCCGAATAATCCTCAACAAGAATCCTACACAACCTCCCGGCTCACTACCTTCCATATACCCTACATACTACTACCATCCCAAAAATATATGCAAAGCACCAATTGACATTTGTCCGTTAGTACGGCCGACCAAATGAAAAGAAATGCCCGAAAGTTATACCCTTTCTGTGAACCATCACGAACCTTGGTGGAACAAGAACACCCTACGGGATTCAGTTAAGACTACATACTGGTGCTGCTGCGATATACCGGTACCGGCCGACCGAGAATTTCGTTCTTTGTTTTAGTAGAAACCGTGCATTGATCCACGTAAATCGTTTATTTTCGGAATTATATTCAGTAACATCCGGTTGAATTGCTTTTCCTGCCTATGATTGTTCATGGAAAAGGGATCACAAGTATGTACCCAACGTTACCCTCAGGTTTGATTTTGTTTGATTTCTAATGGTTACATAATGGGCGACTTATTTAAATGAGCCAATATCTTTTCGGACGAAAATTTGAAAAATTGTAGTTTATCTATATATTAGTATTAATTATTATAAATTAGGTATTAATAGATTATATTTCCGATACAATGTCCCAAGATCTTGATCAATTAGCTATTAGTACTATCCGTTTGTTATCGGTAGATTCAGTCGATAAGGCCCAGTCTGGTCACCCTGGTGCTCCATTAGGATTGGCTCCAGCAGCCCACGCAGTGTGGCAAAAGATGAAATTCAACCCAAAGGACACCAACTGGATCAACAGAGATAGATTTATCTTATCCAACGGTCACGCTTGTGCTTTAATGTACTCCTTATTGGTGTTATACGGTTACGATTTGACTGTTGAAGACTTGAAGCAATTCAGACAATTGAACTCCAAGACCCCAGGTCACCCTGAAGCTTTGGATGTTCCAGGGTGTGAAGTGACCACTGGCCCATTAGGTCAAGGTATTTCCAATGCTGTTGGTTTGGCCTTGGCCCAAAAGCAATTTGCTGCTACCTACAACAAGCCAGACCACAAGATCTCTGACAGTTACGTTTACGCTTTCTTAGGTGACGGTTGTTTGATGGAAGGTATTGCTTCTGAAACCTGTTCTTTAGCCGGTCACTTGCAATTGAATAACTTGATTGCTTTCTGGGATGATAACCGTATCTCTATTGATGGTGACACTAATGTTGCTTTCACCGAAGATGTCATGCTCAGATTCAAAGCCTACGGATGGCACACAATTGAAATCGCCAAGGGTGACACTGACTTGGATGCTATTGCTAAGGCTATTGAAGAAGCTAAGAAGGTTGATAATAAGCCAACTTTGATCAGATTAACCACCACCATTGGTTTCGGTTCTTTACAACAAGGTACTGGGAGTGTCCACGGTGCTCCATTGAAGGCTGATGATATCAAGCAATTGAAGGAAAAAATGGGCTTCAACCCAGAAGAAACTTTCGTTATTCCAAAGGAAGTTACCGACTACTACAAGAAGCATGTTGAACAAAACCAACAGATCCAAGAAGACTGGAACAAATTGTTTAAATCATATAAGCAAAAGTACCCAGAATTAGGTGCTGAACTTCAACGTCGTCTCGACGGTAAGTTACCAGAAAACTGGTCTGACGCGTTACCAACCTACTCTCCTTCGGATAGCGCTGTTGCAACCAGAAAATTATCTGAAACCGTATTAACTAAGATCTTACCTGTTGTTCCTGAAATTATTGGTGGTTCTGCTGATTTGACTGGTTCTAACTTGACCAAAGCGACTGGTACTGTTGAATTCCAACCTCCTGCCACTGGATTAGGTGAATACTCTGGTAGATACATCAGATATGGTGTTAGAGAACACGGTATGGGTGCTATCATGAACGGTATTGCTGCATTCGGTGCTAACTTCAAGAATTACGGTGGTACTTTCTTGAATTTCGTTTCCTATGGTGCTGGTGCCGTCAGATTGTCTGCTTTATCTCACCATCCAGTTATCTGGGTTGCAACTCACGATTCTATCGGTTTAGGTGAAGATGGTCCAACCCATCAACCTATCGAAACTTTAGCCCACTTAAGAGCTATTCCAAACTTATCTGTCTGGAGACCAGCTGATGGTAACGAAACTTCTGCCGCTTACTTGAGGGCTATTGAATCTACTTCAACACCTTCAGTTATTGCTTTAACAAGACAAAACTTACCTCAATTAGAAGGTTCATCCATTGAAAATGCAGCCAAGGGTGGTTACACTTTAGTTAAGCAAGATAAACCAGACGTCATCATTGTATCTTCCGGTTCCGAAGTCTCTATTTCTGTCGATGCTGCTAAGAAGTTAGAATCTGAAGGTTTCAAGGCTGGTGTTGTCTCGATGCCAGATTTCTTCACTTTCGATAAGCAAACCTTGGACTACCGTTTATCTATCTTACCAGACGGTGTCCCAATTATGTCCGTTGAAGTTATGTCATCATTCGGATGGTCTAAGTACTCCCACGAACAATTTGGTTTGAACAGATTCGGTGCTTCCGGTAAGGGTCCAGACATTTTCAAGTTCTTCGAATTCACTCCAGAAGGTGTTGCTGATAGAGCTGCTAAGACTATCCAATTCTACAAGGGTAAGCCATTATTATCTCCATTAAACAGAGCTTTTTAACTTAAAGTAAGTAGTGATTATTAAGGTTATATTTTTATTTATATTAATATTTGAGTGGTTGTAGAGATCGTAGATGAAGGCATATATTTATTGTCAAGAGAGATGTATATTCTTGATGTCCATTAGCTGTTAAACAAAGAACTGGACTAATAGAATGATACAGTGCAATGTAACTACGATTAATGTCACTACAAATTACATGAACTTTGAATAGATATCATATATTCTTTTTGGTAGAATGTATCAAACACTCTTAATAAACATACTGAAATTATCTAAGAAATCATTTTGATGTATCAACGACGTATCTACCTAAAATCTTACCTTCTTCCATTAATTTATAGATACTAGCCAATTCAGATAAACCAACAACCTTAATTGGGCATTTAATAAGGCCTCTTGCAAAGAAGTCAATTGCTTCAGCGGAATCAGCTCTGTTACCCACATAAGAACCCTTGATAGAAACACATTTAACAACAGTACTGAAGATACCAGCTTCAAGCTTAGCATGTGGTAAACCGACTAAGACAACAGTACCACAAGATCTAACATATTCAGTCGATTGGTTCATTGCAGCTACCGAAACAGAAACGTTGATAACACCGTGAGGACCTCCACCAGTGGTTTCCTGAACTTCCTTAACAACATCCTTACTTTTGGAAAAATCAACATAGGATTCAGCGCCTAAGGACTTGACGAAATCTTCCTTATCGCCCGCATCAATTGCTAAAACTCTGAAACCCATGGCTTTAGCGTATTGAAGCGCTAATGAACCTAAACCACCAGCTGCACCAGAAACTGCAACCCATTGACCTGGCTTTGCACCGGAAGTCTTTAAAGCTTTGTAAACAGTAATACCAGCACATAAAATTGGAGAAACTGAAGCTAAGTCGGTTCCTTTTGGAATTCTAGCAGCTTGAACAGCATCGGCAGTGGCGTATTGTTGGAAAGACCCGTCATGGGTGTATCCAGACATATCAGCTTTGGCACAGTTGGATTCATTGGAGTTTTGACAGAATTCACAATTCAAACAGGTACCATTGATCCATTTGATACCTGCCAAATCACCGATTTCCCATCCTTGGACATTTTCACCAATGGCAACAACTTCACCTGCACCCTCATGTCCACCTACCAAAGGCAATTTAGTTGGTAAAGGCCAGTCTCCTTTCCATGCATGGAGATCAGTATGACAGACCCCAGAGAACTTAACATTGATTAAAATTTCGTTAGATTTTGGCTTTGGAACCGGAATATCAGTATATTTCAATTCACCTCCGGAAGTTTCGAAGATAATAGCTTTTTGGGTTTTTGGAATGGACATTTTAATAATTTGGGTTTTTACAAGTGTGTATAATTAACAAGAATCAAATATCAATTATCTGGAGAACATCAATCCCTTTTATATCCCTTTCGACTTCGCTTATTGAAAAGCAATTGCACTATCCCACTACTGTCAACCCCACATTCATCGTTTGTTCTTGGGGGTGATTTCAATTCATAGGCTTCGCTTCGCTGATCCTCTTGTAGTACTTCGCAGTTAAGTTGACTTATGACCGATAAGTTCTAAACACCGATTGGGGTCATTAGTGGTACACTAGTGTTGGATATTCCGAAAAGAGATAATTCTTGTTAACAATAGGCCACTTTTGTATAGTGTATGGATAAGCATAAGGATTCGGATTTAAATTCTCCACTAGATAGTATTGTGTAGGAATTGAGGAAGAAATTAAGGTTCTAAAGACTTCGATACGTTAATAACCCTTGTAATAGAGATGAGATGATAAGCATTTACGGTGAATAGCTATCACATAAACACCATGATACGGAAGTGGCCTGTGTGCTTGATCGTTAAGAAACGTGCCAATGCTTGAAACCTAACGATTTATTTCGGGCTTAAGACATCTTTTTCAACATACCGTGTTGGGAGATTTCAAGATTGTCGATTTTGCCTCCATCAGTTCTCGGACATAATGCAACGAAGAAGTATTTATCCGGAGAGAAGTACAGGTGAGACCAGTGAAATATGAATATGTAAACAATTGATGGACTTAAGGTGCAATGATGAGCCGAACGATCGGATGCCAACGGTACTCGATGCTATTGTCTCCTACATTGAATAAATTTGACTATGTAGGGGGCGGTGATAGCTGTATTATAACGGACTCATTTTCTTGAAGATGCAAGACTGCTTGCATGACCGCCCAATTCCAAGTTCACTCTGTTCATGGTGTTCGATCGACAGATCGCATATTTGAAGATTTGAGTAGCATTTTAGGACCCATTCACCCGGGAAAAACATCTAGGTGACTGGCAATGCGTGATACGCTAGAAGGTTTCGAGTTACAGGCAGCATACAGCGATAAGCTTTGAATGGTTTCAATAAGCCAATGAATTTTGGAACCATTTTTTCTGCGCGTGGATTCGGCCTTTAACTTTTCTCCGCAGAATGTACCAGCTGCAACAAGACAGATAATTTCAAATGCTGGGATTTAAGGAAGACGACATGTATATGTTAGTTGTCTGACTGCAAAGGCTTCATTTCGGTGGTAGCCTTACACCGTCTAAGGTGGAGATTTTTGTTTCATGTTCAGTACACTCTAGATGCATGTGTAGTTAATCGCCAGGCATTTCTAACAGTCATCGACTGACTGTTCAACAATTTGTTCTATAATATAGGATGTTTGTCAAATTTATGTAGTATAGTACTTTGAAATTACTCAGATGGTTAAAGTGTTCATGTGAGTGTAATCGAAGAATTAGGTGATGCTTCTGGTATTTATAGACTATAAAAATTTACCCTAGTGGCCCTACAAGACTATTAAGGTTTATCTTTTATTTAAGATTAAATAAGTTGCTCGGCACGAGTAGAATCAGTCAGTCATATATTCGTGGTCATGGCACAGACACTTTGACTAAACTATATACACAAGTAGCACACATTTGTAGGTACCAACCATTTACGTCCTACGTTTCATAAATTCGTAAGCACAGGCAGATTCGATAAGTCAAACATCTTATGGAGGTAAAGACAAGACTTCTCGAAAGTATGCAGATTGTACCTGCAATTACTCTTGGAAGAACCGTTGTTACCAAACAAACTATTTTAGGGCTTTATAAATTCCGCAGGTAGATTAATCAAGTCAATAAGCTAGACATTCTTTCGCATTCTTCATCATTTACATGGCCTTTTGACCTAACATATTCTAGTCCTAACATATTGTAGTCCTTGCATATCTGCATAAATTTTGTTGCATTAAGATTGATGAATGGTTCAAATATGAGAAACTTCCAAAAAAGGAACACAAGACAAACAAAGGGAACATTAGCCTGACTATTTAATAAGATATTAGCCTCCAAACGGCCGCCACATGGCTCTAAACATGATGGATTCAAAATTTAATCTAATATTATAGATATCCCTATGCATTTGGTTATGATAAGTCTCTGGAGTTGGGGTCTCAATTTCCACTTCCAGTCATGGTATTTATCCGATAATAAACGTTGGATTAAAGCAACGTTTGCATATTATTTCCGTATCTTTCGACGCAAATTGCTATTAGGTGACAAAAGTATTTTTCAAGATAAAAAAATAGAACCTACGGAAAACCGAAGCTTATATCTGTAACCATATTGATAGTAGGGCTATATCCTACTTAAATTATACATGTGAATGACCTCTATGAATATCTACCCTGCACGTTTAGTATACCTGTGTCACAATGAATTTCAACCTTTTCGAAAAAAAGTGATTAGTAGTAGCCTCTTGGCTCCCATTTATCGGATTGAATAAATTCAATTAATGTTTTAGACCCTGTTTGTAGCAACGGATGCCCGCTAACGATCGATAGGAATTTTTCTAAACCTTGTCTTCTTTTCTCAATATTAAGGTCGTTAAACTTATTGGAATTAAGCAAAATCTTCCCCGGTAATGGCGGTATTATAACTCTAGTAGTTTCTTGTTCCAAAAGCTTTCTGAATATGACAAAATCGGAATATCTTCTCCGTACTCTGCTGTTACGTTTTTTGAATGCTGGTATATTGGTCTAAATGTTAATAACCGAACTCTAAGGTTTTGGATATTTCAAAATTATACTTACTCGGCATATGATTTCATAATCAGTAAAGAGTTCTTTTCCATAATGTGTTTGTGGATTTCGTACCTGATATGTTAGCGATTTTGATTTTGGAATGGTATTCGATATCGGACATTAAAGATTTACATACCTCAATTTCTAAAAAGTTTTCGGGTTCTCCGTATAATTCATTGAATGACTGTTGTTTATGTTTAGATGTTGTATTGATTACATCGTTAATCGATTGAAATGGCTTGGACATTTTGTCTTAGTTCTGGAGTAGAGTATTATCCCCTTGAAATCATTTGCGGAAAATATCACGACTTTTTGGTGAAATTTAGAATGCACTATTTTTTTGCCATAAATGAACGAACATTTTCATTTTTATTGTCTACAAAGCATACTTCTGATATCAAGTACTACTTATAGGCATCATAAAAAAAGATTATCTTCTCCCCATTAATTGAAAATTAATGTAAAATACTTTAGTGTTGTGTTTCACAAGACGGATTTATAGGTTATTTGAAAACTATATGTAAGAAAATCTATCAATGTACTAATACCTGCAGTATCAATAAAATAATTTACAATGGCTTACGGATTATAAGAAGACGGTAAGTTTTATTGTGGTCATTTAGACTGCTTCTTCAATTTAGATTGTTCATATTTCTAAAATGTACAAAATTTACAAAAAAAAGTATAAAACATGAAATAAATATGTATTCGTTAATTATTTAAAAGTCTGAACAGATTATGATCTAATGTATTGCTTCTAGCGGCTATTATTATAATATAGGTAAACGTAAGTGCTAATGCAGTTGTAAGATTGAAATTTCAATGGTACTCAACTTAGAATAAGAATTTGTTATTCTTTGGGACATGATTTGCTTTATTTGAAAAATAATAAGCAGCATGAGGCCATCCTAATATAATTCCCAAGCCACTAGCCCAGGCCAAAACAGCGGGCACTCTTTTGGCATATAATGACTTAAATTGAGTTCTTGGTAACTTTGTGATTGCTGACATGTTGTTATTTATTGCGATTCTTTTAAATGCTGAGATTGTATATGACAGGTATTTGAATATATAACCGATGACGAAAGAGAATAGATAGAATCATAGCAAAGCTATTGGGTTTATATACATCAACGTTTTAGAATGGGTGCAAAAATGAGGTGATACCAATGTCATTCAATAAATGAGTATCACCTCATTTTCGCGGTACTTTAGAAAAAGTCACCTCATTTTCCGGAGTTGTCCGTTGAAGTAGGCCATTTTTGTAATTCTGAACCGCTAATTAGCTGATTTATTGTCCACGGAAGAAACAATTGTTACATTGGAATGGAATGGATTTTTTAGCGAGTATCGAACGATAGTCATACAATATGTAATAAAATACGATTGCCTGTTTGCGAAAATTTATAGATCCTGATGTGTCCGTAAATGGCTGAGCAAATAAAGTTTACTACTCGTACAGTCATGATAAGCTCTCTACAGTTCTTTTCTACATCAAAATGTTACTATACCCAGTGTTATTCTTTATAAACCATGTAATTATAAATCATAAATAAAATACTCGTGACAATACAATGTCAATCTAGAGAAATAAATAAGTCTTCGATCGTACAATCAGTTAACCTTTTCTTTATCAAGGTATTCTTGTTGGAGATCGAAGGTATTACCGTTAACGGCGTGGTCTTTGAGAATGGCAATTCTCATGTTCGCCAACATATTGTGGGCAGCATTAGAATGGGCATATACCATACCGTTGAACGCCTTAGTGGCATCCTTACCTAAGGAGACTCTAATCAATGCTTGACCACCAGGATGTTGCTTGATGAATTGCTTAACGTCATGAACAATACCAGAAATAAGAATCAAGCCATCCTTCTTAGCTCTTGCAGTAAACTCTTCCTTATCCATAAGAGGCAATTCATTAAGCATGGTACCCCATTCCAACTTGGACTTCATTCTGTCCAACTTCTTTTGTTGTTGTTGGATCAAACCTTGTTCAATGGCATTTTGAGAGAATGTCTTCAAGCCCCATGCCAATCCCAACTTGGATAAAGCCCAAATGGTGATCTTAGTTGGATCATATTGGTACCATATTAACGCATTACGGTAGTCCGATGGAAATTCGTGGTGGAAGTTGTGGTAACCTTCACCAAAGGTGACCAATGCAGTGATAACGTTATCTCTAGGGGTTCTTCTATCGTCGAATGGTTGACTTCCAATCCAGTGTGCTAACGAGTTGATGGCAAATGTGGCTTGTTGAATGAAGAAAGATCTGATGATACCTCCGTAGACGAAACCACCCCAGTAATCACCCCATCCTAATCCAGCAATCAAAGTTGGAAGCACAAGTGCCATAAAAAACATAATTACGAGATAATGACGGTGTTGGAAGTTAACCACCCAGTCACCAGTTAAGTCAGAAATATCTGCCCTGGCTCTATTCTTAGGGTTGGCTTTAACCAACAACCATCCCATGTGCGAGTACCATAACCCTTGTCTGGCATCGTATGGATCTCTAGCGGTATCGGTGTATCTGTGGTGCACTCTGTGCGAATGGCCCCACCATTTAATGGAACCTTCAACCGCACCTGCACCAAAAAGAGCAAAGAAAATTTTAACTGGTACTGCTGCGTCGTACGCCTTGTGGGAATACAATCTATGGTATCCAGCCGTGATCGACAAACCCGACAAAATGTAGAGTACCACTCCCATTATTGCCGTCTTAAGTTGTGGTGGGTGTCTCAATGCACATACAAACCCAACAGTAGGCACAAGAACCACTAAAATCAAATTCAACCAGTTAATGTGCTCCGACCAATTTGACCAAGTCCATGGCTGGTCAGAAATATGGGTAATTTTGGTCCACTTTTCCTTGTCTCTTTTATCCTTTTCTGCCAATGACAATTCAGAGTCCTTGGTGATTTGGTCTGCGGTGACGTCCACCAATGACTTGGTACCCATCAAACGTCCACCCAATCCAGCGGCGACAACTCTTGGATTTTTCTTATTAGTACCTGCTGCTAAAGCATTAAGCGACGTAATGTCCGCTACTTCAACTTTATCTGACATGGCTACCAATGATTTGAATTCAAAGTATTAGTACGATATATTATGTTAAAATATACCTAAACCAACTAGTTAAGTGAATTTAGAAAAGAATTTTTTTCAGTCACAATAGTTAATCTATATATATAAGCCAACAGAAACAGAAACGGTAATAATGAACCATTTTGTTGGGTGCGATAGATGAGGTCGTGGAAATGGGCCATCTTAATAGACGAGCAACAGCCGTGAGATTACGTAGATTAGGGGCAATGGTGCTTAGATAATAGTCTCGGTGTATGTTGGTGTATAGAAGGTATAGAAGGTATAGAAGGTATAGAGCATTTAAAAGGTATCTCAATGGTATATGTGAGAGATATGTAATGCATTTGAAAGCATATGGAAGGTAGGGATGGGACAATGATAAAAGTAGAGATGAAAAGCCGGTATGGGCATCAATGCGTTACACCTCAACCTGGACCAACAAGAGGTATGGATGCCAACTAATACGGGTGTATGGATGGGGCGGGCGGGAAGGTTGTGAGCGTTGGATGAATAATTAGTTGGGCCATGGATCGACGGATCTCAGGCTTGTCAGCAGATGGGCTGCTACCAAATGTGTTATCAAGCCCGAGGCGCATCATATAGGATTGATAGGAAGAAAGCAACCGAATGGCGTGGTAATACCACATTCATCGACGATAAACGTTGAGTGATTAAGGGTTGGTGTTAAGGACGGAGCACGGATGCGGACTCGAACTATAGAAGGGAGTAGATAGTAGAGTAGAACATCGAGCTAGCAGATTGTAGGTGAAATGTAATGACTAAATTTCCCGAAACGGAAATATGTCGAATAATTTTTTTGCTGCATTGCACATCCAGTGTGAGTGGACCACAATACAATTACCTGAATATCTTGCACGTTGACATAAGATCGGACTTGCCACGGACTCTGGCCTTACAGGTCCAACGTAATATGGGTATCGGGTATCGACAGAGACATCGTACTGGGTTTGTGATCCTACAATTGTCATGAGATCGACGGCCTTGTTCGCACTGCGTAATGCCAGACATCTGGCAAAATCCACAATGCCTTCCATATCCCTGCGACTCCCACGAATAGCCGTAAATGACCACAATTGGCCCATAAATGACCCATAAATATCCAATTGACACCGGTTGATACCAATTGACACCGATTGACGCCAATTTGACTACGTGGCCTCTCCTGTGATAAAATCTCCCATATTACTACCATGTTAGTAGCCTTTACATCCCCAGATCACATCTCTCCCACCTAGTCCGAGTATCCCCCAATCCCACAATTGGATCACACAATTGGTCCACAAGTCCCAAAATGACCCCAGTGCTCGCTGCATTCCATATTCTCATCTCTTCGTCCTCATGTGTCAAATACTTCATCGTTCAGTGGTTAACCCTATCTCCACAAGAGGTGACACAAAACCCACAGGGTTCATTATACGCGAACACCAGATTTTCCAAGAGCAATATCAGGTCATACCCCATTTATTCGTATATAGCAGTATTGATCATATTTTATCCAAAAATCTTCAAACTACTCATTTTGATTTTTGATTTTGATAGTTCAGTATACTAGGAACACATACACCCAATTGAATTAAATTAGGCGATAGTAATATATAATGTCCAATTCATTTTCGTTCCAGAGGCAAAATCCTGGGTCACCCTTACAACAGCATTCGCCAATTCACAATATTAATACTGGCGGCCATTCTAATAGTGTCAGTAATCAAGGTAATAATCAACATCCACAGACTCCAGGTCATCATGTTCCATCTAGAAAACCGTCGATTGTGGAGATGTTGAGTTCTCCACCTCCGCTTCCCAATACTCCAGACCAGGAGGATATTCATTCGTTCAGTTTGAGCAGAAATACTTCAGTGAGCTCGCGGGCGTCGTCGATTTATGGAAACGTGAACGGCGGCACGTCGAAGGGGTCAATTGTGGGCGTAGACTGGGCAGAAATCCCGTTGGTGGAGTTGACGGAGTCGAATAAGTTGATTTCGATCAACTCGGGGTTTTCGGTCCAGAAGGCGTTCGAGACGTTGATGGAGCACAATTTGACGAGTGTGCCAGTGTCGTTGTCCAAGACGGATTCGACCGACCTTACTAACTGTTTGACATTCGATTACAGCGACGTGAACACCTATCTTTTGTTAATTATGAACAAGATCAGTTTGAATGATTTGTCGATCTCCGAAATAGATGATGCAGATATATCGGACCAGCAGAAGGATCTGATTGCGAAGACGATCAATAAAGCTAAGAAGGGCGAAGAGGTGCCAGTGGACTTCATTGTCAAGTTGCATCCAAAAAACCCGTTTGTGAAATTCAGCGAGCAAGACACCTTATACAAAGCGATGGAGTCATTGGGTAACGGGGTTCACAGAGTCGCCATAACCAATATGACGGGCACAAAGATTACGGGCATTTTATCGCAGAGAAGATTGATTAAATACATGTGGGAGAACGCCCGGAGATTTCCATCGTTGGATTTCTATATTAATTCAACCTTACAAGATTTGAAAATTGGATCAAATAACCCCATCACGATTTACGAAGATCAATTATTAATCGAAGCGTTATTAAAGATGTTCACGGAGAGGGTTACATCGTTAGCAGTGGTCGATAAGACAATGGCGTTAATTGGAAACATTTCAATTGTCGACGTGAAGAATGTTACCAGTTCTAAGAATTCGCACTTGTTATTCAAATCGGTTTTGGGATTCATTGGTTACAACTTGACCCAGAAGGGTATCGAAGAAGGCCAAGACCAATTCCCTATATTCCATGTTAATAACCAATCGTCATTAGGCCGGGTTATTGCAAAGTTAGTTGCCACAAAATCTCATAGACTATGGGTTGTTGAGAATAGAGGTTCGGTTCACCATGGCTCCGTGAGTTCGACGTCAAGTTCCAACTCCAACTCCAACTCAAAATCAGTCACTCAATCACCTAAGGCATCACCTTCTACTATTGAGAGCACATTGAACCAACTGGTGTCTACTCCTAGCAACGTGCAGAACATTCCCCCAGGCGGCGAGCCAGGAGGGTTACCAGGCAAATTAGTAGGGGTTGTCACGTTGACCGATATCTTGGGCTTGTTTGCATCGTCGAAGTCCAACAAGAAGATCGACCCACAATTTGCTAGGAACCAGAGAAGAAGATCGTCGACCTCGACCACCAGATCGAGCTTTGAAGGCTCCAGTGCAGGCCAGGATCTTTTCAGAAAATCATATACCACAAGTGCTCCTGCTAAGACTGAAGGCAAAGGTAAATAGACATGGCGCATGCTATTTGCCACTCTTCATTCCTTAGTTAGTCTTATATATATCCCAACTAGGTACATACATTTTTTTAAGACCCGGCTCGTTCTATTTTGAACATGAACCGGCCCTTTTATCACCGCTCTACTCAATATAAATAGTCTTATGTCACTGCCAACCCCAATTGGTTGTTGTAGTTTAGAATCCTACCTGATAAATAGCTCTTGTCAAGACACTACGTGTCTACTCTTAGGTTCAAAACATCTCCATTTCATCTAAAATGTTGCATATGCAGCAATCGCAACCAAGACGGCTGACTACATTTTTGACTCACCCTCTAACTAACTCACTCTACATACCTATCTCGTCACTCCAGAGCTTGTTTTTCCACTTCTCAAGCCAGTAGCCCAGTCATAAACATTCTGACTCATTCTATGAACTTTATTTCTTCAGGCTTGTACTCTCTAATTTCATTGACTCATGTTTACTCTGCCCATCGATACCTATTGATTCATTCTTTCACTGCCAGACCGAACCTACTGACTCACATTCTCTAGAATATCACAGAAATTGGTCGCCTCTACTACGCATTGACCGCCCCCATCTCCATCACTGACTCGTACAGCGTAATGATGGCGGAAACACTGTGCGACCCATCTCCCCAGGATTTTTTTACAGCCATTATTATAATATTGATCTGTACGCTTTTAGATCTCAAACTCCTTCGCGTGGACTCAAACCTTCACGATGTCCTCTTAAAGAGTATAACCTCCACTTCCATCCATTGCTTTTGTTTCTATAGTTATCCGCTAAACAATAGTACTAATATTGCTATATGCGTAGATGAGAGAACAAATCAGCGTACTTTTCAGAACCAGTGAGAAATTTTTTTTGGAAAATTTTTCTATGCGTCTCATCTCTATCACCTTGTTGGATCTTATATAAGGATCAGGAGTATCCCTGATTTTTAAATTACAATTAGAAAATTTTTTTTTCACAAACATATATTTCATATATTAATTAATCAAAATGGGTAAAGAAAAGACTCACGTTAATCTCGTTGTCATTGGTCACGTCGATTCCGGTAAATCTACTACCACCGGTCACTTAATTTACAAGTGTGGTGGTATCGATAAGAGAACCATTGAAAAGTTCGAAAAGGAAGCCGCCGAATTAGGTAAGGGTTCTTTCAAGTACGCTTGGGTTTTAGACAAGTTGAAGGCTGAAAGAGAAAGAGGTATCACCATCGATATCGCTTTATGGAAGTTCGAAACTCCAAAGTTCCACGTCACCATTATTGATGCTCCAGGTCACAGAGATTTCATCAAGAACATGATTACTGGTACTTCCCAAGCTGATTGTGCTATTTTGATTATTGCTGGTGGTATTGGTGAATTCGAAGCCGGTATCTCTAAGGATGGTCAAACCAGAGAACACGCTTTATTAGCTTACACCTTAGGTGTTAAGCAATTNATTGTTGCTATCAACAAGATGGACTCTGTTAAATGGGACAAGAACAGATACGACGAAATTGTCAAGGAATGTTCTAACTTCGTCAAGAAGGTCGGTTTCAACCCAAAGAGTGTTCCATTCGTCCCAATCTCTGGTTGGAACGGTGACAACATGATTGAACCATCTACCAACTGTCCTTGGTACAAGGGTTGGGAAAAGGAAACCAAGGCTGGTAAGTCCTCTGGTAAGACTTTGTTAGAAGCTATTGATGCCATTGAACCACCAACCAGACCAACCGATAAGCCATTAAGATTACCATTGCAAGATGTCTACAAGATTGGTGGTATTGGTACTGTGCCAGTCGGTAGAGTTGAAACCGGTATTATCAAGGCCGGTATGGTTGTCACCTTTGCCCCAGCTGGTGTCACCACTGAAGTCAAGTCCGTTGAAATGCATCACGAACAATTAACCGAAGGTGTTCCAGGTGACAATGTTGGTTTCAACGTCAAGAACGTTTCCGTTAAGGAAATTAGAAGAGGTAACGTCTGTGGTGACTCCAAGAACGATGCTCCAAAGGGTTGTGACTCTTTCTCCGCTCAAGTTATTGTCTTAAACCACCCAGGTCAAATCTCCTCTGGTTACTCTCCAGTCTTAGATTGTCACACTGCTCACATTGCTTGTAAGTTCGACACCTTAGTTGAAAAGATTGACAGAAGAACTGGTAAGAAGTTAGAAGACAACCCTAAGTTCATCAAGTCTGGTGACGCCGCTATTGTCAAGATGGTTCCATCTAAGCCAATGTGTGTTGAAGCCTTCACTGACTACCCACCATTAGGTAGATTCGCTGTCAGAGATATGAGACAAACTGTTGCCGTCGGTGTTATCAAGTCTGTTGAAAAGTCCGACAAGGCTGGTAAGGTTACTAAGGCCGCTCAAAAGGCTGCTAAGAAATAAGCTCCTTAAACGTATTAGGAAAGTTTACTTGAATTTAATACTACAAATTTTGAGTTCTTTTTCCTACGGTTTAAATTTGGTTTATTTTGTAAGTAATTTTATAGTTTAATGTTTAATAGGTGTTTAATTTTGTCCCATCGTAGTAATTACTTAGATTCTAATCGCTTCCTCTATCCGTGCTACTGTATACTGTCAATGTCATCTCTGATTCCTGCCGGATATATCGTTCCATTTGGTCGGTGCCATAGATGCAAATTCTAGCTGAAAATTTTCCTTATCATTCTACATGTGATTGTTCGGCGCAACTTCTCGAGTCAATAATCTGATAAGAACAACAATTGCTAATTAGTACTTTACAATATTAATATGTTAGCCTCATTTCATTTCTTAAATAGCCTCCGGCCCCTCATATTTATGGCATCAAAGAGGATAGG